ACCATACTTGTCAGCTCCGGCTACTTAAGACACATCAACGCCTGCTTCCGGTACTTAGACCCGAAATCCTCACCACCACCGCTACCACCAACTACCACCGGCACTCTACGCCCTTAACCCCCACCAACCGCCAAGCTGGCTTCCTCAAGCAACCAGTCGTCTTTCGACATGATGCCCTCACAGCGACCTTCGCAACTCCCGCCCTGCCCGGGCCCGCCTCCGAGCCGGCCTCTACCTCCCCTCCCCAAGAGGAGTTAAAGAGGTCGCTTGACAAGTGCGACCACCTCTCACCCCACCTTAGATGGGGGTTCAACATGGCGCATGTTACACCACTTGGACACCAGGCTTTGCGCAGTTCTCCTGGAGACTGTCGCTAGCCGCACGCTACGATGCATACACTTGCGCAGGGCCGTTACAACGCCAGGCTCACTAGCCTCGGTACCCTCCTCTGTCTTGGTTTCGGATACCTGCCTGAGCTGGGAGCTGCACGCCATCTTGCCGCTGCATAGCTCGGCGCTGTAAGTGGAAGGAGGAGGGTGCAGGAGCAATTCACAACCAAGCCCTCCTATGATCAGCCTCGACTCAGCCATACACCATGCATCGCTTTCCGATACTTGATTGGCCGGCACAGCAGTCCAACAGTTTCGGGTTCCCCGATCATACGACGTCCGGTATGTCCAGCAGATACGCCGACACAGCCATCCATCGCCACCATCAGTATCGGCTTGACTACAGTGCGCAAGTCCTCACTAGCTGTCGACATACTACGCCACAATCCCGTTTGTGGATGCATCCCGAGAGCCGGCTCAGGGAGTTGCGGACCTCATCCCATTTTCATCTTCAGTCACCATCGGCGCAAAGCATACGACAGGCGCATGGCAAACCCCTTGTACCAATATCTGGGAATACCTTACATTTAATCAACGGCATCACTTTTCTTGTTTCCTATTTGTTTTCTTTTTTTTGGTGGGGGGGGGGGGCACGACATCGATATCAAGTGGAACGACATTTCGGCACATTCGGGGCACCATTAGAAAGGGGATGGGTTCTTGTTTTCCTTGACTTACCACATGTACTACTACTACCAGCATTGTTTCTTGGTTTCCTTTCTTCATGATACCACGTCGCCATAGCCCTGCAAGGGAGGGTAGATTTATGAGGACGGTTTTGAGCGGGGCGGGCAGCATTGATCGGGCTGCGGGAACATCGGGAGGTCGGGGCAATCATTTTTCTGCGGCATGTTTGGCTCTCATTCAGCACCCAGACCTATAGGCTGGGCATTAGGCAATAATACCAACTCAATACGCACACAACCACAACTGGCCACACCCGCTTTTGCATTCCCAATTCCGTTCAGACCCGCATGTGTATCATCTTGAATGTCACCCGTGTGACCTCTTTTTTTGGCCTTGTCTTTTTCCAAACGGGCGCTACTAATAAGTAGAGTGTGATTCAGGCTCGAGAGATTGTCTTTTGTCACCCAACCCAGCCGCTTGCCCCTCTTTCCCCGTATAGTAGCGTACAGTAGTGTAGCTTATGTTCATACCACTCATTATTTTCGGCTACATTACTGCATCAGCAATTCCTCATGATTTCTAGCCCCGCTCCGCTCCCACCTGTCCCTCTTTTTCCTCCCCCGCTCGTGTGGGAGGGCAAGAGAGAGCGGGAACCAGTTTCATCGCTGTAACGACAACGGCTTGAACGGTCGTAGTGATGGTGGTGCATGGCAGCATAGGCGCGCGGGCGGGCTCACGAACAAGGGGAAAGAAAGAGACATCTCCACAATGCTACGACGTTGAGTTCGGGCAGACAGGGCCACCTCATCACTTCGCTTCTTCGGCATCCTGCTACCCGATGCCGAGGAATGCAGGAGCGCGGGCCTGGCGAGGGTAACTGGAGGAGAGACCTAGGGGCCTAGGGGGGTTGTCGGGTTTAACGGGACTTGCCATAGGTAGTATGGGCCATGGGCCATGGCTACCTCGTCGATACGCCCATGCAGAGTGGAATAGAACACAGCCCAGGTTTTTCTGCGTGCTGCCAGTGCCCAGCTGCGGTAACGGAAAATGCCGATTCATCAGACGTCGTCGGTCGGTCGGTAGGGTACCACCAGCCACAGACGGACGAGTCTCTGCAGTACCGTGACATTGCATTGTACATACATACGCAGTACATCTGCGCGCGTGGGCCGGCCGGCCTGCAGCGTTTTTTTTTTTCTTCCGCTCTGCCACTCGGCTCGGTCTCTTTTTCTTTGTGCATTCGGGGTCGGCTGCCCCAGGCGAGAATGCCTGATTGAACGTCAGTTGAGGGGATTGATACATACCGAGTTTAACGTTACCGAGCCGAACTCAAACTGAACTGAACACCTTTCACGCCGAAAAGCCACTCAAACAATATATTAGACATTATTGTTGCGATTTAACGTGATAGCTTTTTATTCCCCGAAATCATCTCGCTAGGTACGGAGTACTTTCCTTTACCCCGACGTAGCCCTTTTCTTGGCCCGACGGACTCGCAGCATTTGACTCGTAATGCCGGGGTTGATGAGATCGGCTTGGCTTGCTGGCCTTGCTGGCCGGCTTGGCTTGGCTGGGGGGGGCAATGTGATGGATGGATGCGCCAGGGTCCTGTCTCTCTCTCTCTCTCTCTTTCTCTCCGAGACGGCAAATGCAGCCGAGTCGGTCGGTCGGGATGGCCGGGTTAGCTCGGCGAGATGAGGATGGCAACAGAGTGGAACAAGGCAGCACAGCACAGCAGGACAGGGTATGCAGGAGGTACACTACACTAGGTACACTATGGTTGAACTCCGGCGGGCCGCATTTGAGGAGGCCATGCCGAGGAAACGGAGAAAAGGGTGAAAAGAGCCGAGAGACATGACCTGATGTACACGACGCTACGATCTGGGACAGTGCGATGCAAGGAGGGGAAGAGAAGAGGACGAGACACAGGTCTCGCCACCGGCTCGCGGACAGAGTTGCCGAGTTTTTTTTTCGCAGAGCGGTTGGCGCGAGATCTGGCGATCAATACTTTGGTGTCTGTGATCGGTAGTGGTTGGTGGCGGTTAGGATTTCCAAAAGTGCGGAGGGTATTCCGTCAAGGTGGATGATGTGGATTACACGAACGGGGTACGGAGTAAGTGTATGTACATACATGTGCGTTGGGAACTCGAAACTCAAAAATGCCTGTCGGTGTCGGTGTCGGTGTGACAAGTGCATGTGCATGTGCAATGGAAGTGTCGCTCCTGGGTTCGACAATTGCAAAGACTGGACTGCCAACAGGGCAGCAAAAAGATGGACCTCGGGGACTCAGGAGTGTTGCGTTACCTGGACCCTGGAGAACCGCCGAAACAAAAAAGAAAATGCGGGCTCGGGAGATCAACAGGTGTTTCTTGATCTCAGTGTCTCAGATTTTCAGATCTTAATTTTCGGCCGGGGGGTAAATCAGGTTACTCAAGGAATTGGTGGGCCCGGGTTTTTTCTCTTCTTGGTCAAGTCAGGCACAGCGGCACAGCGGGCAGGCGCAGGCTGGACTCAGGTTGGAAGGGAGCCAGGGGTATTGGCGTGCGTAGCGGGCGGCCCACATGTGCGAGACGAGACAAATGAGATCGGACCACCACAATTATGGCCCGTCCGATCGGTGCATGCGTCCGCGAAATCTCGACAATTACCATTTTCGGGCGATCTGGGGGAGACGCACAATGGAGAGAGAGATCGAGAGCGATGGAGGAGGCTGGGACATACACTACACTAGTAGGTTGACGTGATGGCCGGGGGAGCTCAAAAGGTCCGACTACACTAGAGGTTTGAAACATCTTTCTCACCTTGCTCTAATGCTGATGAATCGTCCCACTTGCTCCCCTCAGCTCGCCTGGTTGCTCGGTTCGTTTCGCGCATCACTTGTCCCCCGTGATCGGGGGAGATCGTACAACAAAGCAACGCCAAGAAGCTAGCATACGATGGGCCAGGAACGAGGTGCCTTTTCGCGAAAGGGAACGGACCAGCCGACTTGCTCTTTTTGGACAAAATGGGGGGGATAACCTGCATAGGGGTCTTGGGGAAGATTTGCCTGTGGTTTGTGCGTTTTGAGCCATGAGAAAACGGGCGGGCAAGGGCCGCGTCTCCGGTCCGAGACCAGCGCAACGTCACTTTTGCCAGCTTACCAGCATGTCCGCCGCCGTTGTCCCCTGCTCGTATGTCGTTGAAAGGGGTCTGAAACGGGAGTCGTGTAGTGTACGTACCACTTGGTGGAGAGACGAACGGGGGATCGGAGGGGAATTTTAGGGGTTCATGACGTGGGGGTTCTGGGGGTGTTTGGTTCATGCGAGCATGCAAAGCAACGACGTTTGTCGGATGTCGATGAGACGAGCGATGTTGCCTCTCAATCCACCAATGTGAAAAGACCGAGATTGTGAAATCCGTGCCGATTTTTCTCAGGATGGTGGGGAAATAGCGGCGGGGCCGAACAGCGAACCACCGAACGGCGAACGTTCAACAAACGAATGGCGGGGTTGGGAAATGGAGATGGAGTTTCCACTTCATGAAAAGGCGGCTACAGCGGGACGGAACTGACGAAAATGGAACGGTCCACTGGCGTTGAGTTGGGGCTCCGCCGGCAGCATCTTGAAAATTTCCCAATGGGGTGTATTGCTTGACTCGCTAGTTCACGAAAGTGATTGTTATTTCGACAAAGGTTTTATGCTTCCGCCTTACCTAGGTTACCCAGTCGAGCCGGTGCTGCCAAGAGGCTGTCCAGTATCCATACTTCGTGCTTCGTACTTTCCATACGGATATCAAAAACTTTCTTTGGGGCCCGCTTTAGCGTGGACCCCACGTGAAGACGCGAAGCCCCGCTGTAAAGTTGAACGTCGTCTTTCCGCCCAACTCACCGCCCAGCCCAAATCCATGGACTGTCAAGCCTGCGTAACATCTAATCGTTTTTGCCGGTTGGGCGACTAAACTTATCACTTGACACTGACAGACAGAGGGGGCCCGCGAATACCTACCATGGCTCTCCAGCTTCACGTCTGGGGGCCCGCATTTGGCCTCCCATCTCTCGATGCCGAGTGCCTAGCAGCAATTGCGTACCTCACACAATCCGTGGCTACATCCGATTATCAGCTCATCCAGAGCAGCCCCTCGGCTGTACCAACCCGTACGTCATGTCGGGTTCCCCGGCCGCCTTGTTGTCCTATCGCAACCCTCCAATCGTTCAACCCCTCAACACCAAAAGAGTCGGAAGACAAAAGCTAACCTTTACACCCCTCACAATCTAGAACACCTCCCCGCCCTCTACGATTCCCAAACCTCCACCTGGAAATCCGGCTTCTCCTCCATCGCCGCCCATATCCGCTCCAATGTCCCGTCCACACACCCAAGATCCATCTCAACATCACCATCACCATCACCCACAACCGCCAACAGCACAGCCTACACAACCTTCCTAACCGCCCACGCCGCCCCCCTCCTAGCCGTCTCCCTCTACGTCTCCTCCACCAACTACACAGCCACCACCCGCCCAGCCTACTCCGCCGTTCTCCCCCTCCCCTTACCCTGGACCGAACCGCCCGCGGTACGCGCCGCCATGGCCCGACGCGCCGCACACCTTGGTCTGTCGAGCCTAGATGCCGATGCTGTGCTGGCAAGGGAGCGGGAGGAGGAGAGAAGGGTTGCGGCGGAGGGGTGGGTTACCGTGCCGGCTTCGTTGGGTGGTGGGGGGTCAAAGAAGAAGAGTGTGGAGGGGGCTATGAGTCCGGAGCAGAAGGCGAGGATTAAGTTGGAGAGGGTCGCGGGGGAGGTGTTGGATGTTTTGGGGGAGGTGGAGTGGGGGAAGGATGGGGCTACTGGTGGTGGTGTGACGAGGGAAGCGAGGTGCTTGGCGTTTGGGTACTTGGCGTTGATGTTGGTGCCAGATGTGCCACGGCCATGGTTGAGAGATATCATGCAGGCGCGGTATCCTGGGCTGTGTGAGTTTGTGAGCACGTTCCGCTGGGAGGTATTCCCCGATGGGAGGGAGTTACCATGGACGGAAGGGAGAAAAGATCAGCAAGGTGGTTCGACGGTTGGGTTAAGGTTTGTGAGAGGGATCATGTGGGAGGTGCCGATAGTTGGGGAGTGGTGGAGTCGGTGGTGGACGACGAGGAAGAAGAGGGAGGTCTTCAATAGCAAGTGCGTCAAATCTGGGTCGGGCGGTGATCTCCTGCTGCTTATCGGGGCTGGTTTGGGATTGGCAAGTCTGGGTGCGGGAATCTTCATGTACCGTGGTCTACCGCCATTTGGAGAAGCCGTGCAGCTCTGGAAACGGCCGGCCGTGACGCTGAGCAGTTTTGGGGCCGCTGGGGCCATGTTTTCGGGGGCGCTCTATGGGGTTCAAGGGTAATTAAAGCATCATGGAGGCGTTAGGACTGGCGGGCTCCGGACCATCTACTGGGAAAAGCATAGGAGATTATATCACGAACAAGATGCATCAGGACATTCTACGGGATGTTGAGACAAGCGAACTCATATTCATGGGTTTTGACATGTTCCACAACACGGATAGTGTTGCCCAGAGGAGGCTCGATACAGGGCAGTGTTTAGGCCATAATACCAGCGAAAGTCGATATTCAAAGTTGCTCGTTATATCTATTTTTTTTCCTCGCTTTATTTTGTTGTCCTTTTTCAACGTACGCCGTCGAGTCGCTGGTGTTGAAGCTGGCAGCTGTGGAGTACCCCGCCAAGTTCGGAATCTTTCCCCCGAACGCCGATCCAAAATTTCCCCATGTTTTTGTCTGAACTTCGCCGGTTCCTGTGCTCAGCACCCCGCCATGCCGTGACAGAAACCATGTCCAAGAGCTGGGCATCGACGCTGCGGCTGCCCAAGTCGACATTCCCGTACGCATTCCACAGTACCTCCCCTACCTTCAATTGCTTCTTTTTCTCCCAGCTATTTCTTCCTATTTGTCTCAACTGCAAAGTCCCGCGTAACTCACATCCTCATTCTCTAGGCCGCGAGCCTCTCCTCAAAGCAGGGAACAATACATTCAGCGATGCGCCGATGACTTCTACGCGTGGCAGGCCACCCACCGTCCGGCCGACAACGAGTTTGTCCTTCACGATGGCCCCCCTTACGCCAATGGCAGCCTCCACGCGGGGCACGCCCTGAACAAGATCCTCAAGGACATTATTCTGCGCGTCAAGGTCCAGCAGGGTGTGTGCGCTCTTCCCTCGCCAGCTTGCGTTCCAAACTCCAAACTCTCTAGACTTTTACTATTAGGGATGGTCTAACTAACTAACTAACACCGGACATCCCCAGGCCGCCGCGTCTCATACATCCCCGGCTGGGACTGCCATGGCCTGCCCATCGAACTCAAAGCCGTCGACGCCGCAGCCGGCAAGCACATGTCCCCCGGCGCCATCCGGTCCGCCGCACGCGAACTCGCCTCCAAAACGGTCCTCTCCCAAATGGAGAGCTTCCGCAGCTACGCCGTCATGGCCGACTGGGACGCCCGCTGGACGACGATGGATATGGCCTATGAGATCCGGCAGCTGCGGCTGTTCCAGAAAATGGCTCGGCGCGGACTGGTGTACCGAAGGTATAAGCCCGTGTACTGGTCGCCGTCGTCTGGGACGGCGCTGGCGGAGGCGGAGCTGGAGTATAATGAGAATCATGTGTCCAAGGCGGCGTATGTGCGGTTCCATGTGGTGCAAGGAACTCAAAACTTGCCCGGGTTGGGGACGGGGTTTGATGGGCGGGTTTATGCTTTGATTTGGACGACAACGCCATGGACACTGCCGGCGAACCAGGCGATTGCGGCGCACGAGGAGCTCCGGTATCACATTGTGAAGGTGTCGAGCGATGCGTACTTGGTAGCCGAGAATTGTCTGGAGCGGGTAGCCCAGTCTCTAGGGTGGGAAGATGGCCAGTTCGAGGTGGCGGGGAGTGTCATGGGAAATGAGCTAGGGGGGTTGCGGTACGTCAATGTTCTTCGCGGGAAGAATGCCGAGCCGCAGCCGTTCATACACGCCCCCTTTGTCACGGATGTGTCGGGAAGCGGCCTGGTCCACTGCGCACCGGGGCATGGTTTCGATGACTACTTGACTTGTCTGTCCCTGGGGATCTCGGCCATCGCGCCCGTAGACAATGACGGGTTGTTTACCGAAGAAGCGCTCCCCGACCAGCCTGACCTGCTGCGGGGCACACCGGTACTGGAAGGGGGCAGCGCTGCGGTTATCAAGATCTTGGGGGAAGACATCTTGGATGTGCACAAGTACCGCCACAAGTACCCGTATGACTGGCGGACCAAGAAACCCGTCATCATCCGGGCCACGGCGCAGTGGTTTGCGGATGTGTTCTGCATCAAGGACGACGCGCTGTCGGCCATTGATCGCGTGCAGTTTGTACCGGAGAACGGCAAGACCAGGCTGGAGTCGTTCGTCAAGGGCCGCAGCGAGTGGTGCATCTCACGGCAGCGGGCCTGGGGGGTGCCCATACCCGCGCTGTACGAGCCGAATGGCGACGCGCTGATGACTAACGAGGTTGTTGACCATATCATCTCGGTCATCCAGGAGCAGGGGACCGACGCCTGGTGGAACGATGCCCCGGATGATCCAGTTTGGATTCCCGAGTCGCTCCGCGGCCAAGCGCAACAATACGTGCGGGGGAAGGATACGATGGATGTTTGGTTCGATAGTGGCACTAGCTGGGCGATGTTGGGCGACAAGCAGGCGGATCTGTACCTGGAAGGTTCTGACCAACACCGGGGCTGGTTCCAATCCAGCCTGCTCACGCGCGTAGCCGCGACAGGCCGGCACAACTCACTGACATCGTCTTCTACGAGCACCACCAACACCCTAGGATTATCGCCATTCAAGACGCTCATTACGCACGGGTTCACACTAGACGAGAAAGGCAAGAAGATGTCCAAGTCACTAGGCAACATCATCTCAGCCGACCAAGTCATGGACGGCTCGCTCGTGCCGCTCCTCAAACCCAAAAAGAAGGCTGGCGGCAGCACTACGCCGGTAAAAGACGCCCTCGGTCCCGACGCCCTCCGCCTCTGGGTCGCCAGTAGCGACTACACACGCGACATCACCCTCGCCAAAACCGCGCTTTTAACCAACCACCAAACCCTCCTCAAATACCGCACCACGATCAAGATGCTCACGGGCTCCATGCATGAGGCCGCGCGCACCGCCCCGCTAACCGCGGTCGACCAGATCGCGCTCCTCCAGCTGCGCGACGTCATGGCCGAAGTCGCGCGGCACTACGACGCGCACGAGTTCAACAAGGCCTTTGCCGCGCTCAACCGGTGGATCACCAACGACCTGTCAGCGTTCTACTTGGAGGCGCTCAAAGACCGACTATACTGCGGCGACGGCGGCGGCGTGCTGGAACCCATCTTTCTCGGGTTCTTGCGCATGCTGGCGCCTGTCACGCCCGTGCTGGTCGAGGAAGCGTGGGAGCACCGGCCGGCGTGGATGAAAGAGGGTGAACCCTTGGGGGATGCCGCCGTGGTGTTGGAACACCCGCTTAAACAGCTGTATGACGCGCCCGTGGTTGTCAACCCAGCGAGGGTAACGAGGGACGAGGCGGAGTTGAGACGGGCTCTGCCAGTGTTGATGCGGGTGCATGCGGCGATCAAGGCTGCGTCGGAGCTGGCAAGGGCGGATAAAGTGCTTGGATCGTCGTTGCAGTGCGATGTTGTGCTGGAGATTCCTCCTGAGGGCAGTACGGTTTTGGAGGTATTGAGCCAACTCAAGGACGAGTTAGAGGCTGTGTTTGTGGTTTCTTCGGTTGAGGTGAAGACGACTGCGGGAGGGGATGTTGCAGAGAGTGGCGCGGATGCGCAGTGGAAGTACTGCGAGGAGTTTGAGGTGGATGGGTCGGCGTGTACGGCGTGGGTGTTGCCGCCGAAGCAAGCCAAATGCCCGAGGTGCTGGCGGTATGTGGCGCCTAAGGAAGACGAGTTGTGTGGACGGTGTGAGGAGGTTGTGGGGGAAAGTGTACAGTAGATGGTGGGTTTATGTGTATTAACAGGTAGATATGTGGCTGAAATGGATACCCCATTCTCGTATTGTTGTGAGTGTCTTGTGAACTGCTCTTGAAAGGGGTCATGAAAAGGGGCCTTACAGAGTAAACAATACGTGATACACCATAATACGGTAACTTACGCTATGGATACGCTGCCTCAAGGACCCACCGATAAGACCGCCATCTTTTGTGGGCCCCAACTTTTTTCTGTTATCGGAGCTTCTGCGCATCCTCGCAGTCCAAACCTCCAAAAATTATTCGACCTAGAACTCCCCAGCACGAACAACACAACACCGCGCCCAAAAAAACGGCTCAATCGCCCTCTCGTCCACCCACCATGGACATCCTCAAGGTCCTCTCCCGCGGCATCAAGCCCAACCCCAAAAAAGGCAAACCCCAACAACAACAACACCAATCCCAAATCCATGGCCAAGGCACCACGACGACGACTACAACCACGACCGCCCAATTCCTCCTCCCCTCAGCCGGCGCGATTCCCCACCCGCAATTATTCCACGACCACGTCGCCGCCGCCACACGAGGCAAGAAGAGGAAGAGAAGACGCGGCGGTGGAGGCGACGGTGATGTCGTAAGTGAGGCCGAGGACGAAGAGGACAGCGAGGTGGATTATTTTGCTGCGCCGAAGAAACCAGCGTTGGAGAGGAGCGCGGCGGCGGGCATTGACGCGGAGGCCGACGAGACGCTGCGGAAAAGGAAGGTAAAATTGTTGGATGAGGAGGAGTGTAAACGGATATTGAGGGCGCATCGGTTGAAGTTTACGATTCTGTCGGATGTAGTGGTGGGGGATGCTCCGGGTGAGAATAACGAGGGGTCGGGGCCGATGAGAACAAGCAAAAAGAAGAAGAAGGGTGGCGACAAGGACAAGGACAAGGAGAGCAAGACGAAAGCAACAGAAGCCAAAAAGGAAAAGAAAAAGGATGAACACAAACGCCAGCTGTTTCCGCAGCCGCTCAACTCGTTCGGCGAGCTGCGGCATATTTATGACGTCGCGCCGCAGCTGGCGAGTAATATTGCCGCGCAGGGCTTCCGGCTGCCGACGGAGGTACAGATGGCTAGTCTGCCTTTGCTGTTGCGTCCGGCCTTGGCGTTGAAAAATTCAGTCGAGGACACTGGGGTAGGGGAAAGCGGTGCTGACTTTCTTGCGGTTGCGCCCACGGGCAGCGGCAAGACAATTACGTTTTTGATTCCGGCTATTGATGGGGTGTTGAAGCGGCGGGCGGAGGAAGGGGCTTCTAGCAGCAGGGAGGGCCAAGAGCAAGATGAGCATGTGCTGCAGGCCGTGGTGGTTGCGCCGACGAGGGAGCTGGCGAGCCAGATTGTGAATGAGGGGAGGAAGTTGGCTATTGGGACTGGTGTGAGGGTGGTGTTGATGAAGAGGACGTTGAGGTTGAAGGCGGAGGAGGTTGAAGGAGAGGGGAAGGATGAGAAGGATGAGGAGAGTGGGAGTGATGAGGATGAAGAAGACGAAGACGAAGACGAAGGCGAAGAGGTGGAGGACGATGACGACGAAAATGAAGATGAGGACGGGAATGAGAAAAACACAAAAGAAAAGCCAAAGAAGGAAAAGCCGTTCGCAAGAGCGGATATCTTGGTTACAACGCCCAAGATTCTGCTCAATGCCCTGACCGGCAAATCTGGGCGAAAGACCCTCCCGACCGTCCGATCTCTGATCCTCGACGAGGCCGACGTCTTGCTCGATCCCATCTTCCGGCGACAGACCACGGCCATCTGGCGCGCCTGCACGCACCCCAACGTCAGCCTGACCTGCTGGTCCGCGACCATGGCCTCCAACGTCGAGGCCCTGATCACCAAGCAGCTGGCCAAGCGCGCCCGCTACGTCCAAAAGACCACCACCACCACATCACCTCGACCTCGCCCCCCACTCATCCGTCTCGTCGTCGGCCTCAAAGACACCGCCGTCCCCAACATCACGCACAAACTCACCTACACCGCGACCGAACCGGGCAAGCTCCTTGCCCTACGACAGCTCCTCCACCCAGCCTCATCCTCCGACTCCGGCCCGCCCTTACGCCCGCCTTTCCTCGTCTTCACCCAAACCATCGACCGCGCCCAGGCGCTCCACGACGAGCTCAAATACGACATCCCCCTCGAAGCCGGCGGGTCCGCGCGCGTAGCCGTCCTCCATTCCTCCCTCGCCGATGCCGCGCGCTCACGCATCATGGCCCGCTTCCGCGCAGGCGAGGTCTGGGTCCTCATCACAACTGACGTCCTCGCACGGGGCGTGGATTTCGCGGGCGTCAACGGCGTGGTGAACTACGACGTGCCGACCTCCGCCGCGGCGTATGTCCACCGGGCCGGCCGGACAGGCCGCGCGGGAAGACAGGGGGGTGTGGCGGTGACTTTTTACACCAAGGATGATATCCCGTTTGTTAAGAGCATTGCCAACGTCATTGCCGCGAGCGAGAAACAAGCCGCTGCTGCTGCGAAGGGGTCCTCCTCCTCCCCTGACAAAACCCCAACGCCCACAATCCAGAAATGGCTCCTCGACGCCCTGCCAGACGTCGCCAAGGAAGACCGGCGCAAACTGAAAGTCCGCGGTGTGGAAGCACGTCGGGCTGGCGGGAAAGCGGCACCTATCACGACCAAGAGTGCGTGGGAGCGGCGACGGGAGCATAATAAAGCGCAGGCGATTGAGGCGAGTCGGCGGCGGAAGAGGCTGAACCGGGGTGAGCAGAAGAGGTTAGGGGGTAAAGATAAGGGTAGTGTGGGTGATGAGAAGGCGGGAGATGAGGAAGGGGAATGGGGAGGGTTGGATGATTGATTGATTGATTGATACCCGGGAAAGTTGGAATTTCAAGGGGCATGCGGAGGTTGGCTGTAAGGTTGTTAAAAATGGATTATATACCTAAATTACACAAACGCTGTACTGTACGCTGCGGTTACAAATTACGGCACTAAACAAACCCCATTTCTCTCTTAACCACCTTCCCTCTCTCTTAACAGCCCCTTCACTGAAACTGCCCACGCAACCCCCAAGCACAGCTAATACAACACTCACCCTCCCCTAGTTAATACCCCTCCGGCCGAAACATCCACGCCCTCGGATCCAGCAACACATCAAACCCCGTCTTCCCACTCGTCCCCACAGCACAACTCAGATCATGCTCCCCCTCCAGTCCCGTAACCGGCAAATCCTGCTCATTATCCGTCTCCTCATGCAAATCCCACCGTCTCTCCTCGCGCCCCTGCCTGGTCAAAAACACCTCGACCTCCACCGCCCTTCTCCCATTCCCACCAGAATACGACTGCGCATGCGAACGTCGAAACGTCATACCCAAACCCAACCTCTCCCCCGCCCGAAAAGGCTTCGTCAACTCCTTCCCACCCCAGCGATCATTCGTGAACCGGTGGCCGTCGTCGCCGTGCACGGCCAGGGAACCGCGGTGCCAGCCGGGCATGCGGAAGGACGGGTAGGGTAGGGCGGTGAAGCCTAGGGCGATGCAGATGTCGCCGACGCCGGGGTTGGCGGGGGATGGGTGGAGTTGGATTTCGTAGTAGATTGTTGTTGTGGGGGAGGGGTTGTTGTGTTGTTGGGTGACGGCGTAGAGGGGGGGGTAGGCGATGATTCTGGGAAGTTGTGTCAGTCTGATTTACTCCTGATTACATAAGAGTTGAAGGGGTAAAACAACACTCAAAAAAAGAAGAAAAGAAAAGAAAAAAGAAAAAAAAAGACAAAATACTCACGTCGAATCCCGAGCCGCCGACTCCGTCTTGACCGTCCACCGCCCCGGTCCCGTAAACACCAAGCTCCCGCGAAACCCGTCGGGCTGCATCAGCCGCGGGTTGTGTTGTCGCAGCGCCGTGACCGCCGGGCCGTCCAGATTGATAGGCCGGTGGAGCGGGTGGGCATGACACCAGGCCTCGCCCGCCTCGGCCTCGACTTCGGTTGCGTTGTGCGCTGGTGAGCGGTCAAAGCCGGAGAAGAAGCTTGGTGGCGGCGGGAAGAGTGAGGTATCTGGAACGAGGGATTCCCTGGAGTTTGTTTGTTAGTCTCTGTTTATCGTCTTCACTGGTAGATGAGAAGGATAACCTACCAGTCATGTTTCGGCTTGTTCTCGGACGGCGGTGGCCCCGGAGGTGGTGCTATCCAGCTCGGGTCACCGCGTCCAGGAGGAGGTCCGGAGGGGGGGGCAAAGTCACCCCCGTTGTGACCTGGAGGTGGTCCGGAAGGAGGAGCAAAATCACCCCCACCATGATGGCTCGGAGGAGGTCCAGACGGAGGCGCAAAGTCACCACCATGGCCTGGGGGAGGTCCAGATGGAGGAGCAAAATCACCCCCACCATGATGGCTCGGCGGCGGTCCAGAAGGAGGAGCATACTGCTCACCACCCTGCAGCCTCAAATGCGAAGGAGGCGGACCCTCAGGCGGAGCAAACTCATCTCTACCGTGTCCCGGGGGAGGTCCGGAAGGAGGAGCAAACTCATCCGCGCCAGCGCCAGGCCGAGTATGCGAGGGTGGAGGACCCGATGGAGGTGCATAGTTGTGGTGTTGTCCATGCTGCTGCTGCTGCTGCTGCTGCTGTTGTCCGTGATGATGGCCTGGAGGAGAGCCTGCGGGGGGTGCGTAGTCGTGGGTTGCTACCGGTTGCTGCTGCTGATAGTCGGGTTGATGTTGCTGCGGCGGGTACTGCTGTTGCTGTTGCTGTTGCTGCTGCTGCGGTTGATGGTGCTGGTGATGCTGCTGAATCTGCGGCGGCACGCTAGCAGTCTTGGACTCGGGAGCATTATACGCTTGCAGATTGCTATTCCCATTGTTGGGATGCTGCACAGGACGCGGTGCCTCGTCGGCCGCGGCCGTATCCTTTTTATCACCGCCGAAACACATTATTGCTGTGGTAGCTGTGCCTGTGAGGTGCTGCTATGTAGCTTTTGGCGGAGATGAGTTGGATACCGTAGGTATGGTGTTGCGACGGGGACGATGCCGAGTATCCGTCCGGAGTAAGAGAGCAATCGAGAGAGAAAGGAGAAGGGATAAAAGAGCAGAGAATCCCGTAGTTATGTGTAACGCGGACTGGCCTTTTCTTTGTCCTCGGTCTCAACCGTTGGCTTAGGAACGGGCTTCTCAAGGTTCCAGTTTGTGTTGCACGCCCCCAGGAGAAAAAAGCTAAACCGTTTGTCCGTTTGTCGCTGGGTCGGTCTTTGACACACCCAGACGGATCACAAGGTTAGCCCGTCTGAGACGAGGGCGCTTGTGCTCCCTTTTTCAAATAGTTATGTGGCCCAACGCCCTTCCAATCAATCAATCAATCTCCGTCAGAAAATACTGTCGTGTTCGGCCTGGGCGCGTACTCCTTTGATGATGGATGATATCTGTTACTGAATACGCATGCCGATGGCCAGAATTGGCTGTTTTGTTTACGGATACTGCCCGGGCCTTTGGTGACTCGTGAGATGGGGTAAATGGGGCGCAGCGGTAATAGCGCTGAGGTGCTGTGAGGAGGTCCCGCTGTGCACGTTGTCAGTCCGCCAAGAAGGTGCTCTTACCAGGGAGGTCTTAGGGGTTCCACAGTGCTACTGCCCGCAACGTGGGCGGCCTCTGAGCCTCGGTCTTACATGGAACTTTAGCTGCTTGTACTTACACTGCTGTAATCAACTCACGCAGCACAGCCCGGGTCATGACGTTGTTAACTTGCCATCGCGATACAGAGTGGACGCCTAGGCCCAACCGTCGGCTAATTCACATTCCAAAAGGAGAGAGCACGGGTACTCCGTATTTCCATGGCCCCCGAAACTCGGGTTATTCACACAACATAGCAAGTCACATAAGCTAAAACACCTGCGGAAGAAATGCTTTTGATTCCTCAAGCCAGCGAGAGCTCACTCCTCTCAGCTGGACTCCATAACCACAATGCCCTCTTCCTTCCCCTAACTAGATAGTCACCTGTAATTACAATGTATAAATACAAAGTACAATCCCGTAACCTAGCCCCTCTTAGGCACCCCAAGTTGATGCATCCCTAGGGTCCGGGTAAAAGAACGCGACCACGCCGATAATGACATACGTCGACATTAGCAGCGCGCCCTCAAGGTAATTACTCCGCCCGTCCAACACCAAAAAGTTGGTCATAAACGCCGATACAAACAGACAGACCGTCTCGAACAGCGTAAAGTAGAGCGTCATGTTGCGGTCCATGCCCCAGCCGATAATGACCACCAGCGGCGTGATAAAGAGCGCAATCTGGATCGAACTACCCACGGCCACGCCAATGGCGAGATCCATCTTGTTCTTCATGGCCACAGTGATGGCTGTGACGTGCTCGGCAGCGTTGCCCACAATGGGCAGGATGATGAGACCGATAAAGATTTCGTTGATATGGCTTGTCTCGACTAGTCCGTTGATCGAGTCGACCATGAACTCGGCGCAGACGGCGACCAGGGCGGTGGAAACGAGCAGGAGAATGACGGCGGCCGTGCGAGACATTTGCTCCGAATGCGGCTCCTCCGTAGCGGTGAGCATCGGGGGGTGGGCAAGCGGGATTTGCGAGGGCATCATTGCACCAGGCGGCCGGTAGTACTGGCTTAGGCGGTCCGGCAGCGAGTTGGTCCTGCGGATCCCGTATCGCACGCGAGGGACGGGGCCAGCAGGGGCAGCCGGGGTGTTGTTCACATCCGGCGGCTGTGTGAAGACGGACGGCGCAAGGCTGCTGACGACGGGCCGGAAAGACATGCTGCGGAGACCCTGGAAAGGGCTTCGGGTCCGTGGCTCGCCATTGGCGGCCAAAGACTCCTCGTGGTTCATCACCTCGGGAGCAAAGTCGACTCGCCGGGTGTCAGGGCTCGCGACCTCGGCCTCGTTGTTTTCCACAATGGTTTCGCCGACCGCATCGGACTCGGCCGTGTTCGAGCGGCGCTTGTTGTGCTTGCGGTGCTTGCGTTTCGGTAGGCGGTGGCGGTGGCGCTTACCATGCCGATGTCCCTTCTCATCGTCCCCTTCCTCGCTTGCACCGGCGCTCGATTTCTGTCCAGTCGCGTCCGGGTTGGCAGACGACCCCTCTAAAGGATTGTCGCCAGAGAGAGTCCGAGGGGACGGGTTGCTAACCTCGCCAGTCTCAGTGGACACCACGCTAGACCTCCGGCGACGCATAACCCGTCTCATCCGCCTCGACACCGTGTTCCGGGAGTGATCCGAGTCTGACGAGTCCGTATCGCTCGACGAGCTGCTGTCCGAACTAGACGAGTCCAGCCAGTTGGCTGCCGGGCCGGGCGTAGCTTCTTCATCGATGATGTGTTGGGGTGTCGATTCGTAGAGGTACGAGTGCGAGATCAGCTGGAACAGCAGGTAAACAATGTACACCAGCAAAAGGATCTACATTTGTTAGCTTAAAAGCCGAGAGAGTGTGGCTACATATGGATTTACTTACCACACTAGTGCCGCGGCTGACTTTGAGCGACTGTTCATCGGCCAGCTTGTCGTCACTGAACGAGGCGTGAAACGCGGTCTATCCAAGTTAGTGTGGCGAATTCAATCAGGCCCGGAAAAAGGCTTGGGCTTACAGGGAGGACAAGACTGATGACGCTCAGACTCAGGAGACAGGCGCTCATCTGGGTAACAGTGCTGTTGTAGATCTAGGTATTGTAAGCAGGAGTCCAAAAGCAACCCAGTGATACATTTTTTTTATAAAAAAAAAAATAAAAAAAAAGGGAAAACGAACCTGCTCACGGAAGCGCAGGCCTCCGAGGAAGAATGACATGCCCAAGATCAACAGCAGGTTGGCCAAAATAGAGCCAAGAAGAGAGGCTTGGACGATGCGAATCTGATCCTTGACAAGCGCGATGCTGAACAACGGTTAGTACTAGCCTAGCCTATGGAAGGGACATAGTCATTCGAGCAAGGGAGTGAAGGCACAGAGCGGTCTCGAAGGTGGGCGTGGCCGACATACATACTACCATGATCATTAGCTTCAAGTTCTCAGCACACATGGGCCAGACGGCAGGCAGGCAGCTTACAAGATAATCAACTCCACGGCATTACCAAACGTCACATTCAGCAAGGCACCGAGCGAGTCACCAAGACGATGGGCCACCGACTCGGTGGCATAGCTCAGCAGACCGGCAAGAGGGACGATAGCGATGGCGTTCATGGCGAAGATGACGCCAGGGGGCAAGCTGTGGATCTGGGCAACAGCGATACCGATGGGCACAAACACCAACAGAACATTGACCTTGGAATTAAACAAGACAGCCTTGAAATTCTTCCAAAACCGCTGAGCGACGGATTTCTTTTCCTGTTCGACGACATTCTGCTTCTCCTCGGTAGTCCCTGCTACGAGAGACCCCGGTTGTGCAGCCTGCGATGTATTGACGGCGCCGGTACCACTACTGCTACTGCTGGGGCCGCCACCGCCATCGCGGCGACCACCCTTGGTGTTGTGGCGCGGGGAGGAAGCTGTGTTGCCGCCATTGTTGGGCGTGGCTGAGGCTGCAGACGCGAGGGACTGCTGGCCGCTCACGGGAGCGGACGTTGGGGAGATCGGGCTGATAGCCGGTCGTCTCAACGAGCGATGGGTGTCGCCATGCGATTGGGACTGCGGATCGGAAGCCTCCTTCATCGAAATGGGTTGTTGTGCAATTAGTGTAGGTCTCGACGCAATGGTCGTGGGGCAACACGGGAAAAAGAAAGTAAGTTGTGAAAAGAAGAGAGATTGGGTGGTGTCGGATGACGATATCCACGGGGGAAATAGTCGAGAATGAAGGGCAGTCGGAAATTGATGAGCTGTGGCGCGGATGATTTATACAGAGCGGGAAGCCGCGACGGGTGCTGCTGCTGCTGCCACACACAAACACGTCCCCATCCCTGCCGCGGCGCAGTCACACTGTTCCAGATCGAGCGCTGACCCTGGATGTCCCCACCAGCGAATTCTCCACAGCGATAAGAACAAGCCGTTGGGGTTCTCTGTAAGTTGCATACCTCACCTACAAAGTACCGTAGTAGGGATTCGTATGTATGCAATGGTACTTTTCTAGCATTCGTCTTTCAACCCGCCTTGCAATCCACCACTGTCAATTGATACTAGATCCGTTTGCGCAAAGGCACAAAGAAAGGTGCCAGCTCACCAGCCAACCCAGACCGCTAAAAACCCCGGCCGTTTGTCCAGCCAAGCATACACGAACTCGTGTTGTATGAAGGTAAAGTGCGTCAACTCTGGAGCAAAACTCCGAACCCGTAAACAACCAGCTTGGGACCACGGCTCGACGGATATGAGCGAAACCTCAGGATTCAACGTCAGTAGCATCAACGTAACAGTCATAACTAACAATCACGTGGATGGCCTTGCCGCAAACATTCCGGCAATTGCACCGTCATCGTCGTCGTCCGCCAAGCAGCCAAGCCAGAAAGTTTTCTTGCTGACTTGGCCGTTTTAGGAATGCACTGAGCATGTCAATCTCTCACTTTCCCAAGACGAGCCGAAAGCGAGAATTCCAGTGAACCAACACGCTCACCGTTGAACCCAACAGGTACAATGTACCAAAGCCCAACCATCATCAATTGCCTCCCCTAGACAAGGCTCTTTGCGTTGTCACAAGTCAGTCAGATAGACAACCTATTCAAACCCGAAGAGGAAAAGCAGACAAAACACGAGATGGACATTCCTTGCAACGCGCTGTGGAGCCATGCCCAATGCGTAATGACGTCAGCATTAACTTAATCGTTCCATCATCGCTTGTTACACAGCGGACGGGAACGCTGGGGCCGACCAGCAGAGCCACAGTTTCACGAATCGATTGCGCCACTCGCTGCGATCCACGCAAACTTGCAGAGAGGGACGTTGAGCAAACTCAAGTGGCTTGGCGAACCAAGCGAAGATACCATAGCAGCAGGGCCTTCATTTTCAACCATGGTTTTGAAATGATATGATGCGATCAACAGGTTCGGTGCTTGGCTGACGTTGTTGCAAGAAAGTGGGAGTTGCAAAATACCATGAGTGAACACGTAAAGATTATTGACGAACCAATTTCTTGCTTTGACAGAGCAATTGCTGTGGATGCAACTCCCTACTCGGAAAGTGTACTTGAGGAATAGTGCATTTGGAGAATCAACAAGCCGGAGCTCAAAAGTTGGACCCCCGCCTTTGGCCTCTTTCAAAGCTTTAACTGTTAGCCGAGAAGCATTGCAAGTCTTTGAAGTTAAAAGTTGTTGATAGTTTCCAGAATTTTGGCCAACTAGCCTTAGAGGTTATGAGTGAAACTCCTGTAATACTCACAAAGCAAATCTATAGAACACAAGGGAGCTACCATCCTAATCACCAAAACACATATCCAAGTCATTGAGCCCGAGTGCAGAGTTGAGATTCAGAAACATCAACCATACAATACTCAAAACACTCCTTATTACCTCTCTGTCTCTCTTCATCTCCTAGCTCAGAACAACCACCACACTCAAGGAACCCAAAAAAATGCATAAACAAACAAACAAGTTCAATAACAGCGAGAAATGCACTATTTCCAATCCAGACTCCAAAATCGCAACTCCAAATATGAACAAACCATCAAAAAAGCCAAGAACTCAAAGAAAAGAATGAGAACCAAGTAGCAAGAAGACAAAGCCACCAAATACAACCCATCTACCACATCCATACAGCATAGACATAAACATATCCAACAGCAACACCACCCCCCTTCATACGCAACTCATAATACCCAGCTCATCATCATCCCCAAATTCCAAACCCCAAACCACACCCCCGCCTCACTCACCCCTGCCTCTTCAAACTCAACAACCTCTTAATCCCCCCTTTCTTCTTCCCATCCCCTTCTCCCCCACTCACAACCCCATTCCCTTCATCAGGCACCACCACACCGCCCTCCCCACCCCTCTGTCTCATCACCATGCCCTGGCCACCTGCGGCAGCAGCAGCAGCAGAAGCGGGGAAATGAGGCGGATCCTCCAAGAACCGCGAAATCCGGCTCTCATCTTCCCCATCCAGCTGCCCGTCATCATCATCATCATCTTCGCCCTCATCCCCAACAATTCGACGTTCCGCTTGGCTACGAGGGTAAGTATGTGGCCCTGCACCGCGTACCGCTTGGCCAGTCTGCCCAGGTTGACTCTGGCTCTGGCTCTGGTTCTGTACCTGACCCTGACCCTGTGCTAGTGCTTGCGTCTGCGTCTGCGTCTGTTGTGCCTGCAACTTTTCCTGGCCCTGGCCCTCAATCTCCGCTCCACCAAGCTCATCGTCATCCTCGCCCTCATACTCATACCACAACCGCGGCACCACCAACCGGTACGGCACCGTGCTCCCGCCTGGGTCGCGCGGGCTGATTTCCACGTTCAGCGTCACCTCGATCGCACCACGGAGATCAACAGCGTAAGCGTCGTCGTCGTCGTCTTGGTTCCCGCTTCGGCCGCCACCGAAGAACTTACGGCCTTTGGCTTTGGTTTTGGTGCGGTTCTTGGCGGCGCGGAGTTGTTTGACGGACAGGGTCGTGGGCGCACGGCGGAAGGGGTTGGGAAGAGGCTCCTTTTCTGTCGGGCTTTGGGCCTGGGTTTGGGCTTGGGCTTGAGGTACCTGCTGAGACTGCTGCTGCTGCTGCTGCTGCTGTTGGTAAGGTTGGACGGGCCCGCCAATACCAACACCACCAGCAAACTGCCCCCCAGCACCGGTCATGACCGGCTTCGGCGGGACTGGCGGATGGTACTCGTCCGAAAAGTCATCCCTCATGACCGGTCCCGGTGGCTGGCGTGCGGTAGCAACCGGCGGCTTAACGGAAAAGTAGTGCTCATCGCCCTGGTCGTACTCACCATTGTATCCGCCGCCACGGGTACTAGTCGAGGAAGCATAATCCGTCCCTGCCAGACCACCGCCGCGCAGGCCAATCCGACCGGGCCCGGGAGCAGGAGGATGACCAAGTCCAGCAGAAGTAGCGGGGGCACTATTGGGGGCACCCCGATACACATATTGCTGCGCCTGCGCCTGCCTTGGGCCTTGCGGTCCGCCCTGCGCCGACGAATACCCACCATCATCCTCATCCGACTCCGCACCCCACACGCCATTGATGCCCCCATCATCTCTGACACTCCTGGCTCCTGTGCCCGTGGCCGTGGAGCTGTTGCGCTTCTTGAACAGCCCTCCAAATTTACTGGACACCGACGAGCTCGACAGAGTGCGCTTCAGAAGGCCAGGCTTACCGGAGCGGCCGACTTCATCCGCGCTCGCGGCGCCCGCCCTTCGAGAAAGAGACCGCAGTAGACCGCCGCCGGTGTTGTTGGTGATGGGCGGACGAGAACGGTCCTTGGGGCCGACGAGGCCTTCTGGGCCGCCGGTCCGAGAGCGCGAGAAGGAAAGACGCCGGAAGATGCTGGATCGCCTGCGCAGAACCTCACCGCCGGCACTTCCCGGACGAGAGGATGCGAGGTCGTAGGCGGAATCACCCGGCGCAGGTGTGGGTGGCGGGGTATGACCGGGTACGTATTCGCGAATGGCGCACCAGTTGCGGTGGGGAAGCAGGTGCTTGTTGTTGCGGGGCTTGCCGTCGACGCCGTGGGCGAAGATGGGGATCATGTCCTCGTCGGTCTCCTTGTCGAAGTGGTGGACCTTGTTGCGCTTGTTAAGCACGTCGGCGAGCAGGTCGGGCGGCGGGGTGTTGACAATGGCGGAGGAGATGATGTTGGGGATGTAGCGGAAGTCTTTGTGCTTGGCCAGGCCGAGCTTGGGGTTGGAGTAGAACTGGCCGACGGCCGCGAGGTGGACATCGCCGCTGAGGACGGTCACACGGATCGACTTGTCCGCGGCCAGATCCTGCAAGTCCTCCATGACGATGCTCCGTTCGTGCTTGTGGTTCTTAGCCGTCCAGTGGTCGTCCAGATCGTCGAGGACCTCGACGCCGCCATCAAAGCGGTTCAGCAGGCCGCCAAACATGCCCAGCTTGGCCAACGCCTTGACGGGGTCCATGACGCGTGAAGTCAGTCTGCGCAGCGGTCAGTAACTGCCCCTCTAGGGTCAAAAAAAGAGAAAGAAACAAAAAGAGAAACTCACAAATTCTCCAACCACACCAACCGGGGATAAGCAATCGGCACGCCGAGCAACACCAACAAATGCTCGACCCGGCCCTTGTCAATCTCCCCATAGCACCGATCCATAATCTTCTTCCACGTGTCATCACGCATGACGGCCTCCCTTGTCCGCTCGGTACGGGCATCGACGGCGAGCAACGCAATCTTGCCGCCCAGCGACATGAACAGGCTGCGGCTCAACTCGTTGATGTACGGCCCCGGCCGCACGCCCAACAGCCAGCTGGGCTCGGACTTCTCCGTCTCCAGCGGCAGGCTCTGGTGCTGGAAGAGCATGTAGTATTTGAAAGCGACGTTGCCCAGCCCGGAAAACACGGGCGAGTTCATGAAGTGGTGCGGGTACGAGCCGAAGCCGTCGATGATGTCGTGGTCGTCGTACATGTTGACCATGGGGATCTGGGCGTTGGCCATGCCGAACAGGCCCTGCGAGAACCACATGGCGTAGCGCTCGAGGTAGAAGCGCTCGAGCTCATCCTGCATAGCCGGCGTGAAGGGCGCACCGTGCTTGTGCAGCGGGTTCTTGACGTCCAGCCAGTCCTTGAAGAGCACGGCGTCCTGCATGCACCGATCATTATAAATCTGGTCGCCCCCACCGATCATAACGTGGAACGGCTGGCTCTGGTGGCTGTTGAGCACGTCGCGCCACATCGGGTCGGGCCCCGTGAACTGGTCCGGATTGGCGCTCAGGCTGAAGCCGTTGCAGCTGTGGAACATGATGTTCATGCTCTGCCCACGCGCGGGCACCCAGAATCCCGTCGACGGCCCACGGTTGATGCGGTACGCGATTCGCTGCTGCTTGTCCCGCAGCTCGACCTCGATGTGGAACCGCCAGAAGGTGTACCCGCGCTCGGCGTGTAGCCGGACCCCGCGGATGTCCTTGTACTTGCCGGCCTTCTCGCCGTCCATCTCGGCCCGCTTGCGCCGCGCAGCGAACGACCCAGGGGGGTCTGCCACGCCGTCGGGCAAGGGGTATTCGGGCGCGCTCTTGGACTTTTCGAACAGTCCGTCGTCTGTCTCATCCCGCGAGACGTCCCTGCCCTCCTCGAGGTGGTCCACCGGCCGGACGTAGAGCGTCTCGCCCTTGCGGCCCAGCTTAGGGTGCCCGGCGATCGGGTCGATATACTCGGGCGCCAGGTCGCCCTGTATCTCCCTAGGTGGAGGCGGGAGCAGCTCGATCGGCTGGGCAAACAGGCGCAGGATGGGGCCAATGTCGTAGGACGAGTCGGCATCCGTGGTCACGATCATGATGGAGCCCCTCCAGAACTCACGCTCCGCCGCAGCGCCGGCGCGCGACGGACCTCGCTCATTGCGAATACCACAGTACCGCAGCAGTGGGCCACACTTGAGGTGGAGCGGTGGCTTGAATCTCGTAGGGGCTAAACAGACACAACAGTCAGTCAACTTTGTTCAGTCCGGATATGATATGTGCATAAAATTGCAAACAAAACGAAAAATCAACAAGACTGAAAGGAAGAAAAGAAAAAAAGGCAGGAAAGATAAAAAAGCAGGGTGGCTGTGTACAAGAATATGGCAGCGCAATCCTCGAAAAGGCCGCATCGTTGCTGGCTAGGGAAAAGCAGCCCAGGCTATCCGAAGAATCGTTGTTGGCCACCGAGGGAGACGGGCTGAAGGGGCGCAACCCGTCCCAACGCCTGGCTCGGGCTTTGGCTCGCCGCGAGGCAAGATGCTGAGGCTCAAACGCAACGTTCCCAGCCCCAACACCAGTGCCGAAGCTACTCGTAGACAGCATCTGGTGGAGGGATGCAGGGCCGCTGCTACCAGTGCCATTGCCATTGCCATTGCCATTACCAAGGCCATTAAGGATGCCATTACGATTGACATTTCCATTGCCATTGCCAAGGATGCCATGGGCGCTGCCGTTCTGCATTTCCTCCCGGATGCTGGGGTAAATCACTGCCTGCAGATTAGGGGACCGCCTACCATTGTTTGTCTCGTCGTATTCGCCCTCAAAGGCTTCGGCCTTTTTGGGCCGCGACGACAGGCTGTCGCTCCGCCGCCGGGTCTGGGATTGCGGTTCCCACCAGGCGGCCTTCTTGTCTGGCGCCGGCGGCGGCGGCGCCTCGTCCAGGTCGAGCAGATTACCCGACAGAGCGCCGACGGTCCCCTTCCTCCACTCGTCCAGATAGGGGGTTGGCTGAAACAGGCCGTTGCCTGGTGTAAATTTCTCGCGGGCGTGGTACACGAGGTCGGACACATGGTGTCTCTCTGCCTTTCCTATGACGGGAGCAATGGGGGTAACGGGGCCGGCAGTGCCAGCAGTGCCGACAGGACCGGTGGCGCCGCCCGGAAAGGCACCAGCTGGAGCACCAATGGGGGCCCCGGCAGGCGCACCGGGTTGGGGGATGTTAGCCGCATGTACAGGAGGGAATGCCAGAGGAGCAGCAGCAGCAGCAGGCCCTCCAGGAGGAACGGCTCTGAATGCGGGTGGTTGTTGAATTTGCCTCGGACCCGTCTGTGTCGGAACGCGGCCGAGGATCTGATCGGCCTTTCTCTGGCTGGGTGTCTTGGTGAGTTTCGTGGGTGTCGGGTACATGGCGAAATCATCCGCAAAGTCGTCATCGAGCAGGTCGGGATGGCTCGGTGGTGGCCGTCCACTTCGAGCAGAGACGTGAGCAAGTGGCGGTTGCGACGCATTAACAATCGTTGGCGTGATGGGCGTGACGGGGCCGCCTACTACCCTCGGCGTGCGAGCGGACACCTCGCCCGTGTTGTAGATCTCATCGGGCTCAGAAACACGCGTTGGCCAGGCATCACCGGGCGGGTTCTTCTTTAACTTCCTGCTGTTATTCCTCGACGTGTCACGGCTCGTCGCGGCTGACGTAGGAGTCGTGAGGTCCTTGGATACGGGCGACTCGGCTGCGCTCGGGATTTTGATATCGGTCTTGGCCGCGCGCTCGCGGAAGCTGAGGTTGCGCTGGGGAATGCCGGAGGCTGCACCTGGCACCTGAATCGGAGCTGGGATCCGGGAATCAGGGGTAACCGCGCTTGGTGAGGGACCACCGATAGCCATGCTATTCCTTCGTGGTTCATTATCGGGGGGGTTCTGAGAAAGTGGCCCGGGACGCCCCGGTGTAATAGGGGTAATTGGCGTAGTGCCAGGCTGTGCTTCACCCATGCCGGCCACTGAGGTCCGTCGGTCGTGGAAACGGACCTGCTGGGGGCTCTTCTCGCTGACTGCTGGTAATGGCGATACCAATGGCACGTCGTCCCCTGCCCCCCTGGCCGCTCCTGCACCCCCAGCAGCCCCGCCCATCCTTTCTCGGGCCGCCCGCTCGGCGGCTTCGGCTCGTGCTCGTTTGTCCTCCTTGGAGATGCTGTCGAGAGTCAGCTCCAGCCTCTGAAGTGGTGATCGGACGTCTGCGAACGGTTTGGATCGGTCGCCGGCCGAACTCGCGGCGGAAGCTCGGCGGGCACTTCTTTGTAGTGACTGCTCGGCAGCAGAGGTCCGTTTAGGTCGGCCATTGGGCCCGGGGGACACGCGGCCTAGCGTGGGATCAGTGAGGACCCGTTGCTGGGGCCGCGGCATGGCAGATTCTTCGAGCATGTTGGGGTTTTGCGATTGGGATTGCGACTGCGACTGCGGGTACGGGTATGGCTGTCCGGGCCCTGGCTGTTGTGCGTATCTGGAACTTGACGGGGGCATGCGAGGCGCTTCGGGGGCGGCCGGGGGCGGTGGACCGGTCAGGGCAGCACTGTCGGCGCTGGCAGCATACTCAGCTTCCTGCTCCTGGTTGCGACTCCTGCGCCGCCGTCGGTTCTCGAGCAGCTCGGGTGGGTACTGGTCGGCGCCGTAGGGTAGTGAGGGCGGGCGCGGGGTCAGTCCCTGGGCTTTGAAGCTCGAGGCAGTTGGCGAGACAAAGGGGCTCATAGTCGAGTCGGTGGGTGCGTCAGACTTTGTAGTCTGGACCGATATGCGATGCGAGTTTGACCTCGGGACAGCCTGGGAAGCCGGGGCATCCAATGACTGACGGCGATCGGGCAACGGGGCGAGGTCATCGGACAGACGGCGAGCTCTGGTTTGGCCTGCCTGTGACGGGGGAAGCTGGCCCCAGTAGGGAGTCGACATGTCGGTGGGTTGGGTTCGTGCAAGGCGTGTGTGCGTGCGTGTGTGCGCGAGTGCCGTCGGCGTGGTAGCGGGGTTGGACTGGCAGTGGGAGTGGGAGTGGGCGTGGGTGTGGACGTGGACGTGGGAGCAGGAGTGGGAGTAGCGGTCACTCGCGACAGATAAACTCAACTTGAAAGGCAGGTGTGGTGTGTCTGGCTTGCGGTGACCGTTCTACTCGCTGTTCCCACCTTGCTGGTCCTCGTTTTCTGCCCTACCAGTGACTAAGTGTGACAATGTGTTTGGGCACACGTTCGAGCTTGTCGTTGCAGAAACCCTGAGCTGCCACTCGCCCCAATGCTTGGAGGTCGTTTCGTCCTGTCTCGTCTCGTTTGCTCGCGGCCAATCCAGTTCGGCACTGGTTGAAGAGGTTAGGTCAAGTCCGGTAGCTCGACCAAGTACTGTGTCGACAAAAAAAAAGTCAATCGATGCCAGGAAAAACTGCAAGACGCAAACTCAAAGCTCACGCCAATTCCCTTCCAGTTCCCATTCGTCCACGAGCTGTGCAAGGCCGTGTGCCAGCCAATATTCGCAAGACACATGCACCTTCGGGCTCGAGCAGCCGTGACCAGCGCATGCCCCGGGGCGGGCGGCCAGTTATACCAGGGTCAGGTTCCTGGGTTTGCCGGGGGTTGAATCATTGACGACTGGAGGGGCCGAAGAGGACTGGGGGAGAAGAGCCCAGAGCGGGAGCTGCAGAATCCGGGTGGCCGGGGTTGCTCCTTCCCCGGCGGCTGAGAGAAGAGTGAGCTGTTCAGCGAGTGGGACCTCTAGCTCGGGCGGAAAGGGCGACCTTGGCGTGCCTGCGTGGTTGGGCAGGCTTTGCAGGCCTCTGCTGCAGGCCCCCGATCTGGATGGGAACGGCTCGCTGAATTGGCCGATTGAAAAGGAAGCAAAAAAAAAAATCGACAGGGGGTCTCCAAAAATTCAGAGGCGGGAAGCCCACTTCGATGAAGCCGTGTGGCCGGGGTTTCCTCAAACCGACGACGTCCCCCCATCAATTCGCATCTCTGACCGCTGCGAGGACCCGACTCGTCTTGGTTAGGTATTACGCGCATTGCCGAAATGTCGGTGGCTGGCCGCCGATTTGTGCAACGGTTCTCTTGCGGGATTCAAGAACACCGGTGGGGGTCGCCGTCGTCGAGTTCAACCATTGATATTCTGGTAACGGAACTTGGGGATCTCGCCATCGAAGAGAGCACATGGCGTCCACATGGAGACCGGACGAACCAGTGTTCTGTTCCTGAGTCGTTTGAAGATTGGGAGCCTTATGTCGAGATTGGACGAGCGAAGATGAAAGGCAATGGAACTGACACATCTCGCTGATGCCCACACACCGAGGACTTAATGGGGGCCATGCGTTGGCCCGTTGGCTTGTTCACTCCTCCCCAGCCATGTCATTCATGTGCTTGCCTTTTTGGGAAGGCTATGACCGCCAGCTTGGGCCTCCAGCGAGCCACGAAACGGGCGAGGCGAAGTCAGGTATCCCGATAGATAAATCCCCATTCGCGCCTAATTCCAACTTGAGGCCTATCTACCGCTTTTTTACTTTGTTTTCCGTCCTGTCTTGCCTGTTTTCAATGAGGGTCATGAAGCCGGGTGAGGCCGTTGACTGTGGTTTGTCCCTTCCGTCATCATCACCTCACAGGGAAGTTCGGCAGTTAGACGCCCCGCCAATTGATGAAATCCAAATTGGAGCTTGAAACCCTCTTTCTAAAGTCGAATAGCTGGTAACAGATACTTTATCAATTTTATTTCTTCCCTCGGCAACTTAGAGACTTGGTCAAGCAACCATGGAGTCAAGGAACGCTACCCCATCCTCGATCCAGTTTGCTTTGTTGATTTCGATGTCGTACAAGGCAGGGATGCGGAAGAACACGGGGTTTTCGTTATATTTGTCTCGGGCGAGCTGAATAACAGTATCAGATTCTTGCTACGTACCAATAGTAATATATGGACTACACGTAGAGGAAGTTTGAGGCAAACCCATAAGAAAGCACAAACTTTGAGAGCTCCAAAGGTCAAGGCCACGGCAGCTGGAAGACGGGGCTGTTGATTGGCTTGTTGGCTTATACAGGTGCCGTTTCGGCCCGCCCAAGGAAGAGGCCGCGACGCCTCATTCCATCTTGTGAAGTCGAGGCTTGGCAAGGGGTCTGTGGCTGACACAGCAGCGACGTACACTCGACACTGGACTGGCGAGTGACGACTTGCAACCGAAGGCCACCTCTCCACTTCAACGCCAGCGCTTTTGTAAAGGGGGATTCTTCCTTATTTTGCCAGGAACGACGGGATCCCCGCATTTTAATAATTAATTCATTACTATTTCTTTTGCAAAACCCACACGTTGAAACAGCGGTAACTCCTTTAGCCCCTGTGCCTGTGCACCCGGCACCTGAGTTCAACGTTAGTGGAGGTCCGGTTTGCCACAGGGTCCTTCCTTTCGCTTGGCTCGAACCGAGTTGCAACTCTGCGACACACACGTTTCCGCCCCCAGCTTTTGGCTCGAACTGGGCCGTCGTCTGGTTTTAACACTGCAAAACAACCAACGAACAAACCACACTTGAATTGGAAAGCCATCAGAAATAGGCTCACATGAACACCGCATCGAACTCCAAGCTCCGACCTTGACAGACCTACACCAGGCCCCAACAACGGGCTATTGCCCCCCCCCTCCCCCGGTCTCCTCCTTCCTTAGCCCGTCCCCTCGACGTTCCTCGACTCCCATCCATCGCCCACCATGAAGATGTGGTCTGGTGCGGCGTTGCTGGGCTTAGCCGCCCTAGCGGCAACCTCGCAAGTTCTTCCACGCAACTGGGACGCTAACGACTACTATGTCCTCCATCTCGACGCCAACACATCCCCCCACGAGGTTGCCCGGAGTCTGGGGCTCGCGCACGAAGGGCCCCTCGGCGAGCTACGACACCATCATATTTTTACGGCGAAACGAACCGAGCACGATGTGGTGAAGCGGGAATTGGCATACCGGAAAAAGAGGCGGTCGCTCGGCGAACGAGACGTGCTGGACGGCGTGCTCTTCTCTGAGAAACAGGCCCTGCGAAAGCCATGGGAGAAGCGCATCATCCCCCAACAACGGAATCCTTTACCGCCAGATCTCCCCCATAACCTCCGATCCACCGACCCGCCTGTGCAGTCGGCCGTTGATGCGCAGGCCGACCTCATGCGCAAGCTCGAGATCAATGACCCCATGTTCGCGGAACAGTGGCATCTCTTCAACACGGTCCAGGTCGGCCACGACGTGAACGTGGGCGACGTATGGCTGCAAGGGGTCACGGGGAAGAACGCCACGGTGGCAATTGTGGACGATGGGCTGGACATGTACAGCGACGATCTCAAGGACAACTACTACGCGGCCGGCTCGTACGACTTTAACGATAAGGTTGACGAACCGCGGCCGCGGCTGCAGGATGATAAGCATGGAACTCGGTGCGCCGGTGAGGTGTCGGCGGTCCGAAACGACGTCTGCGGCGTGGGCGTGGCGTACGACTCCAAGATCGCCGGGCTGCGTATCCTGTCCAAGTTGATCTCCGATGCGGACGAAGCCGTTGCTATGAACTACGACTTCCAGCATAACCAGATCTACTCGTGCTCGTGGGGTCCGCCAGACGATGGCAAGAGCATGGATGCGCCTGGAATTCTCATCCGCCGCGCCATGCTCAACGCCGTGCAGAACGGCCGCGGTGGACTGGGCTCCATCTACGTCTTCGCCAGCGGCAATGGCGCCCAAAACGAGGATAACTGCAATTTCGACGGGTACACCAACAGCATCTACAGCATCACCGTCGGCGCTATCGACCGCAAGGGGCTGCACCCGTACTACTCGGAGAAGTGCTCCGCGGGCCTGGTGGTCACCTACTCGAGCGGCAGTAGCGATGCCATTCACACGACTGACGTCGGCCAGAACGCCTGTTCCAACAGCCATGGCGGCACCTCGGCGGCTGCCCCGCTGGCCGCGGGCATCTTCGCCTTGGTCCTCCAAGTGCGCCCGGATCTGTCGTGGCGTGATATGCAGTACCTCGCCATGGACACAGCCTTGCCTGTGAACATGGACACGGGCGATTACCAGACCACCACAATCGGCAAGAAATTCAGCCACACCTACGGGTACGGCAAATTGGACAGCTCCGCCATCGTCAAGGCCGCCAGGTCGTGGAAGAAGGTCAAGCCGCAGGCCTGGTACTACAGTCCCTGGATCCACGTCAACGAGGATATCCCCCAGGGCGACCAGGGCATCGCCGTCGGCTTCGAGGTCACCAAGGACATGCTCAAGGATGCCAACCTCGCGCGCCTCGAGCACATTACTGTGACCATGAATGTTGCGCACGGTCGCCGCGGTGATATCAGCGTGGACCTGATCAGCCCTAGCAAGGTTGTCAGTCACCTGTCTGTCACGCGCAAGTATGATGAATCGACTGAGGGGTACGATGACTGGACGTTCATGAGTGTCGCTCACTGGTAGGTTCTCTTTCTTTCTCTTTCTTTTTCTTTTTTTTGGTGTGTCATGGCCTTTAAACCACTCCCGAACTAACAATATTAGGGGCGAACTCGGCACCGGCACGTGGACCATCGTCGTCAAGGACACCAACATCAACGAATTCAGCGGCCGTTTCGTCGACTGGCACCTCAAGCTCTGGGGTGAGAGCCTCGATGCCTCCAAGGCTGTTCTCCTGCCCATGCCCACCGAAGAAGACGACAACGACCACGCCGTCGTCCCTACCACCACCCTCAAGGCCTCCACCACCTCTGTCCCTCTCCCAGGCGGCACCAGCCCGGCTGATGCCGATACCACCGATCACCCCAACCGCCCCGTCAACGCCAAACCCACAGGCACCGGTACCCCCGTCCCACCGGAGGCCGAGGAATCCGCGACCGCCCCGGCGAGCACCGACAAACCCTCCACCTGGCTGCCCTCGTTCCTCCCTACTTTCGGCGTCTCCGCGGCTACCCAGGCCTGGATCTACGGCTCGCTAGTGCTGATCGTCCTCTTCTGTGCCGGACTCGGTGTGTACCTGTACCTCGCCCGGCGCAAGCGGCTCCGGAACAACCCGCGGAACGACTACGAATTCGAGTTGCTCGACGACGACGAGGACGATGATTTCGACGGCGGGGAAGGGTTAGCCGCCTCTGGCCGTGGCGCGAGGGGGTTTGAAGGAGCGGGCGCAGAGAAATTCGGTGCCGGTGCTGGTGCTGGCGCAGGTGGTGTCGGAGCAGGCGCAGCCGCTGGAGGGAGAAAAGGAAAGAAGAGGACACGAGGCGGGGAGTTGTACAATGCCTTTGCCGGGGACAGCAGTGACGAGGACGGGCTTGCGGATGACAATGACTTTGGTGGTCGGGGGGCAGCCGGTGGTGGTGGTGGTGGTCTCAGTGGAGGGCAATACCGCGATGGGTCGTCGGGATCGGACGGGAGCGGCTCGCCGATTCGGTTGAGCGAGAAGTTACCTGCTCCTGGGGCTGGTGCTGGTAGTAGGAGGAGAGATAGTGATGAGGAGGATGAGCATCATGTTGTAGGGGACAGTGATGATGACGAGGAGGAGGAAGAGAGTAGCGATGAGGAACGGGCGAGGAGGCCGTTGCATGGGGGGAATCGGTAGCGGTTTGCGCGTGTGCTGACCTTGCCTACTTTACTGGTTGCTTTTTTTTGGCCTTCTCTTGTAATTTCTGTTTTGTTATTTCCGGTGTTATGTTGTTTTGAATTGTGTACGTGGCCGTCTGTCTATCATCTGGCGTGTGTCTCTACCGTTATTTTCTCGCTCTCTATATATGACTGATCTGTACTAGGGTTCGTGGTGTATGGAATTCTACAACGAGCTAGAGGACGAGGGCTTTGGTTTTAGGACCGGTAGAAAAATCCAAGGTTTCTAGAGCGAGGCAACGAACGTACTTTCCAATTATTGCATGACTCATCAGTGGCAAAGAGACCCTTCATAAAAGGCAGAGTGGGTGTGGCTCTTAGTATGGATTGCGTCGGCTTGTCCTCGCTTTAGTGGCTTCTCATCCCCATTACATTCATATCTGAGAATTTCTGTGTTCATTGCTCGACGTTAAACTCAAGACTTGGGAACATAAGGCAACATAAACACTCAAGGCAATGTATAATTCAAATCTCAGGCCTCCCCTCCCATCTCCGCTGTGTGAAGGCAATAAATACTAAACCACCGCGCTTTCAAACTCTTCCCGCCCAACCTAACCATCTTTGTGAGAAAATCAAGAAAAAACCGTTTCTCGATAACGCCGTAACCCCCAAGTAGCGTGTAACCCCCCTCCGGAATAACAATGCAACAGGGAACCACCATGTCTTATTCTCGACCAACTCTTCGACCAACTCGTGTTTTTAAGCAGAGGATGCGTTTCTCCCCATGTGCCGTTTTCCTTGCCCACACCCGTCTTAGGTGGTCATTTCAAACCCGCCGTCTAGATACCCGACCAGCCCTCGAAATCATCTGGCAGGGAGCCGTCTTCCGTGGGTGTGGGGGACTGGTTAGTACTCCTATCGCTGCCCGCGTCGTCCTGGGCGTTGCGGGCATCACCACGTTTGACTGTACCCGACCCTGCCGATTTCTTCGGCTCCTCAGCTTCCGCTACCTCCTCAATCTCATCATCATCCAGCGCAATAACCCCTCGCAAGCGGCTCGGGCGCGCGTTGTCGATCGCCTAAGCCGGCAGCACGATACCCTCGCGCTCCATCTCACGGACATACTGCTCCCACGTATCAATGACGCCGCCGTAGAAATCCACGTGGGCGTCCACCAACCCGGCAAACTGGCGCTTGAACTCGACCTTCTTGATCCACTCGAAGCTCTCGACCTCGCGCACGACCTGGTCGGCGAAATGATCCGACTCGAGCCGTGCGCTCTCTACCTCGCGTGTGAGCTCGTCGATTCGTAGCTCTAGCTTGCGCTGTCGGTCGCGCCGCGCCTGCTCGTGGTCGACCCCGCGCACGTCTTCGATCTTGGACCGGATGAATCCGCCTGCGCCGCCGAGCGCACCGGAGCCGAAGGGGCCTGAGGCGTAGCTCTGGTGGCCGGATGCGAGCTGGTCGCGGTCGGATGTGGATTTGTTGAGGTATTCTGTCAGTTGCTCGTAGTCGAGTTGTTTCTGCTCGCGGGCCTTCACGAGGTTCTTGAGTGCGGCCGAGTAGGCGACCATGTCGCGTAGCGAGGAGAGGTAGTCCTGGTCCGTATGGTCTTTGAGCTTCTTGAGTCCGGTCGACGTGTCCTCGACCGAGGCGGCAAAGGCATGGACCGATGACTCGACGCCCGGCTCAAGCGTAATGAGTTTCTGGAACTGCTCGGCCAAGTCCTTCAGATCCGTCTCCAAGTCGGCCTCGCGCCGGGCTACCCGGGCAACAATCTTTTCCACGTGGTTGAGGTCCTCATCTAACTTGTCCGATTTTTCCTTCACCTCAATGAACCGCGGATCCGGCTTGTGCACCTTGGTGAACGCATTCATGAAGCTGTCCGCGAACGAATCAAACACACCACCCCCACTGCCCGCATTGCTGCTGACTGACTGGCTCTGGCTCAGTCCGCCCACGTCGCTCCCGGGCCCAAGCCTCCCTGCCCGACTGCGCATCGTCGCATTCCAGTCGGGACTTTCCAGAAACGTGTGCAGTATGCTTGCGCGGCGGAGAACGGGGTGAAGGGCGAGACGGGCGAGGAAGCGCTGTAGGGAATAGGCACGGCGGGCTGTGAAGTCTGGACCGAACCGGTCGCCCCGGACATACTCCATGCGCTGCTTGTCGGGCAGCGGGGGCACGGCGCAGGCCTGGTACTCGCGCGAAAGTACTTTGTAGAGGAAGACAAAGTCTGTAAAGCGACGGCGGACAGTAGTCGTTTGTCGTTGGAAGGTAGAGAATGTGGTCTGTTATAGGAAGCCAAGCAATCGGTCAGTAAGCCTTCAACACCACCCGATACACCAACATCATGAAATACAATGGCCTACCTTTGTAGTAATCAGATACGACACATAAGCATCCTTGGTCCCATCATTCTCCTTATGCGGCTCTGACACCACACAATCCAGCTCCTCCCCTCCGGCATGGCCGCTGTGGCCATGATCATCGGCACCAAACTCCTCTTCCGACCGCCGCCGGCTTGCGCCGGGATCTGGACTTGCAAAGTCGTGCGCCGCCGACGATGCGCTGGGCCGTGCAGTATCTGTACTCTGCTCGCCGTGCCACGATATGTCGGAGAAATTGTCTTGGTCGAGGACCGCCATTTTTGTCTCGGTGTTCTTTTTCTCCCTCTTGGTTTTCCGCCGCTCTCGATGTCGCTGCTATTGGTCCGCCTTCTTCGTTCGGCTGACGAGGCCCCACGCCCAAACGATATTGCTTGGGAGTGATTGTATCGGTGTTGTTGCACGAAAAAGGGGCCGACTATCGGAAGGTATTGTAACTTGGTGGTTTACCACCTTTAAATGGATTTGAACGGACGCGTGCGGGTGCGCTGGTAGGTCTGGTTTCGTTACTCGGGTTGCGAAACTATGTTTGGAATAGGTGCTGGGGTGTTGCGTCTTGGAGGAAGGCAGTGCCGCGAAGCGATGCTGGGGGATTGACGTATGATGGTGGGGGAGCTCTTGGGCGGCGGGAGCTCGGACCTTGTTAGTGTTCAAGGTATCCTCTGTGTGCTCTTAACGCAAAAAGGAACTTCGTATTCTAACAAACTCTGAGAGCCCTGAAGCAGCGCAATGTTCCAATGCTAGTATGTAAGAATGAGGCAAGTCCGGGAACCATGGGGGGGACAATTTCACAAGTTGACAGCCTAATTCTAGCTTCTTGCACTTGACGGTCAATGCCCATTACTCCACGATAGAGTTGATGCTATCCACGATATCTAGATGAGATGAGGTCTATATCCCCCCTTGTCCCCCAAAACCGTTCCCAATGGAACCAGAGTAGACAAAGCAAAAACAAAAACAAGGACAAGAGAACGAATTCCATCCACCTTATAAACCCCAAACTCCGGATCTGATCTCGCGAAACCCAGTCACAAATCGCGGCCGCCCATCGCTTGTCTATGGATACAAGTTGCCCCTTTCTTCCTTGTTCCCCTGTGGTTCCTTGATCAAATATATCTGGCATCACCGCCCTTCCTACCTGGTAGGTAGGTACCCAGGTACTCTCATACAGGATATGACGTACAAAAGAGCGAGAAAGGGAGAGAAGACATGACTAAAGAGTAGCTAGCTTTGCAAAAGCAGGTCAGGCGCCCACCCCGGCGTGGGGAAAGGGGGCCGAATGAGAAGGGCAGAAGGATAATACACTGCAAAGAGCTGGTTGTGTCTTTTTTTCGGTTTCTGCTCTTTTTTGTCTTCCTTTTTTTTGGCTTTTTTGGATTTTTTTTTGTCATTTGTTGTATGCCCAGGCGCTGCTTACTTGCGGCTGGACTTGGGCTTCGAGACCGGGGCTGAAGCAGAAGCAGCGGCCTCGCGCTGCTCGACCTGCTTCTCCACCTTCGCGGCAGCAAGCATGTCCTTCTCCGCATCAACCGCCTCGCTGACCTGGATCTTCTCCAAGGTCGGATCGGCCTCAGCACGCGCCTGGCGCACCTCCTTCTCGTCGATGTTCTCGGTATCACGAGGCGTAGCAAACCCAGTAGCCTGGTTCTCCTGGTCCTGTTCGAGCTCCTCGTCGATCAACTCCTGCTGCTCCTTGAGCACCTCCAACCGCTGCTTGTTGGTGGCGGCGCCCTCGGCGTTGTGCACCTCGAGCTCAATCTCGTGGAACAGCTCTTCGGGGATCGACGACAGCACGCCTGTCAGCGCCTCGATCTGGTTCGAGACGCCCTCCTCAGGCTGGCTCTGCCCGTACATGTACGCGTTGCTCAGAACTAGGAGTGTCGACGGGACGCCATCGCGCAGGCGCAGGTCGAGCCAGGTTTGCAGGTCCTCCCGCAGGCGCGAGGGGGACACACCGTGGCTTCGGATACCGCGGCTGGCGCTGGCCATCTGGAGCTCGGCCACCGAGAGGGAGTCGACACCCTCGTAGGCGATGGCGTGGTCGTCACGCTTGATCTGCCGCATGCGGTGGCGGAGCTGGTAGCGCAGCATCATGTCGGTGCCGAACGTGTTAAGGTTAAGGTACCGGCACATGGACACCAGCTGCGGGCGCGACAGGTTGTCGAGAGTCAAGTCATCCTTGAACACCTTGCACACTTTGATGACGTCCTCGGCCGTCGGCTTCTCGCCGGTGGCGCGGACCTTGCGGAAGAAGTTGGTGAACTCCTCCTTTTGTGCCGTGGCCTGCGTCAAGGGCAGCCCGGTCTCCTTCAAGGTCTGACGCAGGAAGTCGCTAACCTCCTGGCGGGTGGCCCGCAGCGTGGACGCCTTCTTGTCCTTAGACTTCTGTCCCTCGTACGTGCTGGGCAGCATGTTGGGGAAGAGCTTGAGGGCAACGGGGAGCAGGAGTTCGGCGAATGGAACGATGACAAAGACCGAGAAGGGAACGAGCCGGCCGAGATCCTGGACGGTCCGCTGTAGCTGGCGGTTCTCTCTCCGGGTGAGCTCGTACCCGGCGGCCATCTTGAGCGCCAGGCGTGAGCTGATCCTGACCTCCGCGGCCAGCAGCTTGGTGCCATCCCAGTAGTGTTGCGCCTCCTTCTTGATCTTTTGACCGAGCGTCAGCTTCTTCTCATCCTTCTTGCTGTCGCCCTCCGTCTTCTCGACTGCGGTCTCCTTCTGGGCCGCGAGTTGGGCGAGCGAGGCGTCCGAGCCCTCCGAAGCCGCCTTGATCGCCTTGGAAGTGGTGGTTGGCTTCACCGCGCTGTCGGTCTTGGCCTGTTTCCCGTTCGCTTTGGCTGCGGGCTTCGAATTGCTGGCGGGGTCTCTCGGGAGTGGTTTCTTAGCCTCTTCCGGATTGAACCCCGGAGGCGGGCCGCCGGGCGGGCCATGGGTGCTTGTCCCCGGGGTGGTCAGGGTCCGGATCGGGATGAGCAGCGCGGAAGCCGGGCCGAAGCTTTGTGCATTGCGTGCGAGGTGAATGGAGGAAGCGAGGAGTGCGGACCTAGGAAGCGCACGACCTAGAAAGAAGAATCACACAGGGTTAACGATGAATGAGCCAGGGGAGGGTGGTGAACTAGGAGGGCAGGCGAGCGAAATAACAAGCAACGCAGCGTTTTGGAGATGGCTTCAAAACGCAACGCAACTCATGGAGGGAGGGACCCACCAGTGCCCAGGAAAGGGTTGACGACCAGCGCCCGGCGGGCAACCTGCGTAGAGGCGCTCATAGCGGGCTATGGTAGAAAAGGGGAGACGTTTGTGAATAGTATGAATCGTGGAGGAGACAAGCCGCTTCTCGTTCAAATAAACACACAAGATGTTGGGGTCGGATGTCGAGATCAAGAATCTGCACCGATGCGTGGGTGGAATTATTTAATGGAGCGGGCGTTTTTGCGTTGCGACAAAGGATCGAAACGCCAGTGGGCTGAACGTTAACGGGCCGGAAACGCAACGGGTACCTTCGTGAAAGGTGGTCGAACTGCCGGAATAGTCGGAAACGGTGGGACGTGCAAAGCGTTGCGTGGCACAAAGTTGGGTTGGTCTGCGAATTGGCGGAAGGAGTTGGGAAGGAGGGTCAAGAAGTAGGGTGCATGAAAAAAGAGGATGGAAGGAGTTTAGAAAGTTTGTTGGAGGCAGATGTTCAGAGCAGGGTCGCGCAATGAAGATGGAACTGGGATGGACGACGGAAAGGCGGCTTGGTTAACGCCGCTTCGTCAAAAAGGGGCACGGTGCCAACATTCCAAAACCCAACGTTTCGCCGCGTTTCTGCTGCAGGCAATTCCACCATGGGGTCCAGGCCGCCCCGCGTTATCCGGCCCACTCGAGTCAGGCAATACTCACGTGATTTGACGGTCTGGCCGTCACGCAGTTCAAGGCAGGGCCAAAACAGCAAAACAGGTGACTCTCCTCCACACAGGGAGTGACGGGTGTCGCTGCGTGCGGATCGGGTTCAATCGGGCTGGGAACGGTTCAGGGCGAGAGGGCCCACGAAGGCTCGCCAGCCATCATCTCATGTACCATGTGAAGGAACTGGCCTGCCACGCTTGCCTGCGGCCTGCGAGTCCACTGCGCTGCCAGCGGCTCGGTGCTCGCCACGTTCTCACCGGGTCTCTGGGCTTCAACTTGTATTGATGCCATGCAAACGGATTGGCCGGAGTGCACAGTTGTGAGGGGTAATCCTCGTTGCCGTTTCGTTTAAAAGGTTGCAGGAAAAGAAGGTTTATTCAGATCTGGTTTCAGACCAGAGAACGGTTATCCCTGAAGCCAGGAGTCTTTTCTATGCAGAACATCCATTCATGGGGAAGGGCCAGGCCGTGGGGAACCTGGGAGTCCCGTCAGCTGTTGTCAAAGATTCACCCAGCTGCGAACGGTTGGCAATTCTTCCAATTAGTTGACACCCGGCTTCTAAAACTTCATAGGTTCAAAGGAAGAAGATGCCTGGCCGGAGGGTCGCGGATATTCCCCCTCCAGCGGCCGGCTGTCCGGGTTACAGGCCGATGGTTGCGATTTCGGTGTCCGGCGCCTGTCTCAACAAATCTCAGCACCTAATTTTTGGTGAGAACGCCGGCCCTGGCACTCCCGTCAATCGCTCCCAAGGTGAGCACAGCGTGTCTATGCCAAGACTTTGACGACTTGTGTGTCTGAGCCCGGGCATTTTTCTTGTGAGCCGCAGAAAAGGTTGCGCGGTCTTGAAATAAATGTCTACATCGAGGAGGGTAGTTAGTGTTTCTTCAAATGCCTCGAAACTTTTTGACATTTGACAGCCGAAGCATGCAGTGAAGTGATCTTCAGCGACCCTCACCTTCGGTCCTCGGTTGCACGTTTCCAGAATTGCCTGTGTCTGCTCGGTGGTTGCACCCACACACACTGCCCCGCACTCGCAGCGCTCCGGTAATTCGGAGATCGGACACTTTTGCTTGTGCTTCTCCGGATTCGCAGTTACGTCGCGCCCAGCGTCCCATTCGCAACCCACCTTGTCCGGGTAGAGAGAAAGGCACCACCCATCCCCCGACCGGCCGACCCGACGCCGGGCCGCCGCATCATTACAAAGCCCCCCGTCGCCCTTCGTCCGTTGTCCGTTGTCCGCTCGTCGATATCGCCCTCCCGCGGTTTCTCCAAACCCCGCTTCGCATTCCGCAACACACGCCCACTTACTCGAACGAATCGGCGCGTCTCGCTCAAAACCACCAAGAATGCGCCTTCGCACCGCCGCCCGGGTTATTCTTGTCGGCGCGCCCGGGGTCGGGAAGGGGACGCAGTCGGAGCGGTTGCTCCAGAGGTTTCCGCAGCTCTCGTCCATTAGTTCCGGTGATTTGCTGCGATACAATATCAGGCAGCGGACGCCTCTCGGTACGTGTCCTCGACTCATGCTCATACCGATATTGTCTTCCTCGGAGATCGGCAGAGCATATGAAGGAGACAGAGACGACAAAACCAAGTACGAATATGGACACTAACAAAGCTTACCACGAACAGGTATCAAAGTAGAGAGCACGATAAAAGCCGGCAAGCTAGTCTCCGACGACTTGATACTCCGACTCATCCGCAATGAGCTCAACCAACGCGGGTGGCTCCTAACGCGCCACACCTCCGACAATGTCATGACCCTCTCCTCGTCCGCGATCGACCTCGACTCCCCCCCACAACACGGCAGCCCCAACGACGCCGAGATGGCCGCCTTCCTGTCCTCCCCCGCGCACGCCCGCGGCGGACACGGAGGGCACAGCCTCAACGAGGACCCGTCAGCCTCCTTCCTCCTCGACGGGTTCCCGCGAACCGCGACCCAGGCCGAACGCCTCGACGAGATCGTGCCCATCAACCTGGCCGTGTCGATCCGCACCCCGCTCCAGGTGATTATGGATCGCATCGGTGGGCGCTGGGTGCATGAGGCGTCTGGACGGGTGTACAACACGACCTTCAACGCGCCTAAGGTCCCTGGGCGGGACGACGTGACGGGTGAGGAGCTGGTGCGGCGGTCGGATGATAGTGAGGAGGTGTACCGGGAACGGTGGAAGAAGTTCCAGGAGACGAGCGAGCCGTTGCTGGAGCACTATGCGCGTAAGGGGGTGCTGTGGGAGGTGGATGGGATGAGCAGTGACGAAATAACGCCGAAGCTGTTGAGCAAGTTTGAGGAGCGATTTGCTTGATTCCGTTTGATTTTGGGTTTGGATATTACCTCTTTTTCTTCGACCTCTTCTTCTTTTCCTTCTTTTTTTCGGTCATCTGCGTGTAGAGGGCTCGCGTTTTCAGCGTCGGCGGCAACGTGATGTACTGATGAAGTACTACCCTCAACGGTGGATAGATGGCGGCGGTGGGCTATTTGCTTTTCAGGACGGAAAGAACCTGAACCTTGGAAGGCGTTGGCGTTTACAGAAAGGGGGAGAGGGGCTGCTGAAAGCGCGCATGACCTCAGCTTTCCCATGGGTTGTCTTTTTTGAGCGGCAATTGGGCTGCCATATATTATATATTTGGCACATGTTTGTTATCTGAGACTATGTAATGTCATTTACTCATTTCGCTCTCATCTCATGACCTTTTCGGCACACCTCTTCGAGAGCATCTCACACGACTCAAGGTACCTTGATACATGTACATGTACGTAACATATGCAGGCGTGGGAGATTGAATCATCAATCCAAAGTTTCTCACATCCACGTTCAGGCTATGTCGAGGACGGACCCCTATCCTCCCACGCTTCCCGTCCTGATTCCCATGTTTGGACCTGGAAAAGAGGAGCTCATTTCTGCTCGAGAGCGGAATGCAATTATTATTGAGGTGAGGTGGTCGGGTCCATTGCGTGCCTGGAATCATCTAGGTCCACCTGCAGCGCAGGCGGGGGTTCCCGGGCACGAGTTCAGCACCTGAAACCTTCGAAAGCCTCAGGGCATCAGGCGCGCCACAGGGCGCCCCGCGGGACGACTTCGGCTCGAGTTCGGGCGCTGATCCCTCCAGGGGCCTCCCGGCGCTCACACTTGCCGTACCTGTCACGCACAGTGGAGATTCGATCATTTCTCTCCTCAAGCGCTTGGCGTCAGTTGCCAACTTTAACTGGTGGGGCAACAACCTCAGCTCGCATGATCTCCAAGCGTGCAACATGTCTTGAACTGGCACCACATCAATTATTGTTTTTTTCCTCTTTTATGTGATTTCCTGCTCGGCCGGCCGCTTGCGATTGTTTTAATTGCGGTTCCCAAATTTGGGGTTTCTTTAGTTATTTTCCTTTGCATTCCCCTCGTTCCATCAGCTGGCCAACTTGTTTTCCTTGCGGATCTCTTTATCACCACAGAGTCGAACCAACATCTCACGGGCCTCGCCGATTCATCTACATGATGAGAGCGACTTCACAGGCTACCTAAGACGGGACCTCCCTTCTCTGCTTTTACTTGCTTTCTCTTTACACCGACAAGCTGCCGTTTATCTCCGCTATTGTGTTACTTGTGGGATATTTTTTGCTGCGTTGTTTCGGTCCCTTGCAGACTGCGTTGTATTACGTTGCGTCTTCCACCAACCCAGGATCTCGGACGTAGTCAACGAGCCCGGCTTATATGCATTGCGAGGCCGCTGATCCAACATTGGATTCCCTACTTTGCCCGCAACCTTCTTTGTGAAAACTAGCCCAGGTTTGTCCGTAGCTACCTCTCTAGGGTCATAGAAATCAGAAGCTAACATGACCAAGCGAGCACACTGTTCTTGAATTCCGGTCTTTAACTACGCCGCTATGCTAGTCCCCTGGGCCGTGGTCGTGGTGGCGGCCACGGCCGTGTCCGCCACGTCGACGCCTTGGTCATCTCTACCGATCGACTTGAAGGACAAGACCAGGACAAGGACCAGTCGAGATGTGGACAGCAGCGCTCTTCCCGACGTTGATGTCCTCGATAACCTCTTCGCCGCGCTGAGCGACATGCAAACCACCTACTTCCAGAACTGGATAGGGACCTGGCCAGACGCGATCGACTGGACTCGTGCGGTCATGAGCACTCATGTCTCTGCCGCGCTTCGGACAATCTCGGACGAATTCGAGCTCAGCCAACCCGGTGGAGGTGTCGTCGGGTATGTCTTGGGGAAGGAAGAGGTCGTTGCGGGTTACTTTGCTGATATTATCGGCTACTACTTTGCCGAAGACGCCTTTGCCCTCCGGAACCAGGCCTACGATGACATGCTTTGGGTCGTCCTCGGCTGGCTCGAGGCAATCCAGTTTGTTGACGAGCACAACGACGTCTTTTCCAACTCGGCCTCAACGGCGGGGCTGCCCTCGATGCTTGGGACTGACGCGTGGTACGGGAATCGTTGGGTGCCTGCGTTTGCACACCGGGCCAGGATCTTCTGGGAGTTGGCTTCTAAGGGATGGGATACCAAGCTCTGCGGCGGCGGCATGGTTTGGAATCCACGCCTGACCCCTTACAAAAACGCCGTCACCAATGAGCTCTACATCGCCGCCTCCATCGGCATGTACCTCTACTTCCCCGGCGACTCCAACACCTCGCCCTACGTCTCCAATGCCGCATCCGAGACGGCACCTTGCTCGCCTTCTCCTTCTCCGTCTCCTTCTCCTTCCGGTGATTCCAATTCTACCAATAGCCAGGTATGGCCCGCCCGCGACCCCCGCTTCATCGTGGCTGCCCAGGAAGCCCACGACTGGCTCACCACCTCCAACATGACCAACACCGCGGGGCTCTACGTTGACGGTTTCCACATCTCCGGCTACACCTCCGGCGGGAACAACACGCGCTGCGACGAGCGCGACGAGATGGTCTACACCTACAACCAAGGCGTGCTCCTCTCTGGTTTACTCGGCCTGTATCAAGCCGCCCTGCGTGACGGCCGCAGTGGTGAAAACTACCTCCGCGAGGGCCACACCCTCATCCAAAACGTCATCCGCGCCACCGGATTCGACCTCGAACACAACCGGCCCACCGACCCCATCGTACCCAACCGCGTTCCGCCGTGGCGTGGCCTCGGCCGGGTGGGTGTGCTGGAAGAGGCATGCGATGCCACGGGGGAGTGTTCACAGGACGGACAGACATTCAAGGGGGTCTGGATGCATCACTTTGGCACGTTTTGTTCGCTGCGGGCGTTGGGCTCTAGATCTGGCTCTGGATTTGGATCCACGTCCGAGGCTGTCAGGGCGCAGCATGAAGCGGAGTGTAGACGGTACATACCCTGGCTACGACACAACGCGCGCGCTGCTCTCGGGACCAAAGACGACCGGGGCCTTTTCGGAATGTGGTGGACCGCTGGTCTCCTGGGTCTTCGCAGCACTGATTCCGTCGAGCAAGCGGCCGATGCCGAACCCTTCCCTACGTCGGATGATGGCAACATGGTGGATTATCGAAACCGTGGCGTGCCACACAACGAGATCTGGATGGGTATTGTCGACGCTGTGTCTGAGATTTTGCCCCGGGGACCTTCTGCTAAACACGGCCCGGCACGGCCGCAACAGAAACCGCTAAAAGGCGCTGGTGTCAACCCAGGTCCGGATGGGAGCCCCAGCACCACGACCAGCACCAGGACGGAAAGCAGGAGTGAACCGTCGGGTAGTGGGAGTCAAACCCAGTCTAGTCCTTGGGACCCTAACCTTCGCGGGAGGGGAAGGACGGTGGAGACACAGGGCGGTGGGCTGGCTGTACTGAGGGCGTTGTTGGTTGTTTCTAGACTTGAGGTATGAGAGCGATTTCGTTCGGGGGTTGGGGAGTTCTTGTCTTGGGGGGAGTTTACCTCGTTTTGGGGGGACTTATCGCATAGACGTCGTGTTTTCGCTTATACACATACACACACGCGTACATAGATACATACGTACAGGCGTTTGGATTGAGAGCATACTACGGTTGGGAATTGTTAGTTGGTATTGATTTCTGAATTGCTAGGCTTGAAGTGTGCCGGCGATAGGCCTGTCGTGACAGGAGGCGTGCCCGTTCGCCAGTTGCCGCGAGGAATTCCTACCACGTATTCCTGCTATTATATGAATTGAGAATTCCCCTCCCCCCCCCCCGTTTCGCAATTTGTACTTTGTAGAAAGAAAGCCGTTCTCGAAGGGATATTCCTGTTCAGGGGTAGGATACTACAGGGTTAGGGTTGGGGGAATTGAACTTACTGCGTATGGAGAAGCCAGCCTTGCCAACCCACCTCGCAACACCCCGCGCCGCGACTTTCGGCTTCGCCAGCCCAATCAACCAAACAAACCAAACCACAAGCAATTCCGAACCGCAAACAACTTCACGACACCTACACATCGCAAAAAGTCCACCTCTCCTAACCACTGCGCCCGCCACCAAACCCCCGATTAAACTCAATCTCAAACCCAAAACAAGCAAAAATGGCCTCCGAAGAAATGGAGCTCGACGAGCCCATCCAGCAAGCACCAGGCGATGTTTCCAACTCCAACTCGAACGAAAACAACAACTCGGGCGACAACAGCACCGCCAAGCTAGCGGCCATGCAGACCCTCACCAAAGCGACCGCCGTGCGCTCGATCGAGGGCTGGATCGTGCTGGTGACCAACGTGCACGAGGAAGCGGACGAAGAAGCGATCCATGACAAGTTTGGCGAGTTTGGCGAGATTCGGAATGTGCATCTTAACTTGGATCGGAGGACGGGTTATGTCAAGGTATGTTTGGGCTGCGTCCCCCTCTTGTCCGCTCAATCACCCACCGAAGCATAAACGCCCCCCGATAATCCCTTCGTCTTGTTTGTTGTTGGTTCATCTTCAATTAACTAACCCCCTCCTCCCAGGGCTACGCCCTAATCGAGTATAGCACCCTCGAAGAAGCCCGCGCCGCCATCGACGGCGCCAACGACACGCAGCTTCTCGACCAGACCGTACAAGTCGACTTTGCCTTTGTGCGCCCGCCACCAGGCAAACCCAACAACCCCAACACTAACGGTGGTGGTGGTGGTGGTGGACGTTTTGGTAGTGGCGGCGGTCGTGACGGGCGTGACGGTCGGGATGGGGGTGCCCGCGAAGGTGGTCCGAGGGGCTCGAATCGCGGGGCTAGGAGTGGGAGGAGTCGGAGTCGGAGTCCGGGGGCGGGTAGGGATGATCGGGATTGATTGATGTGGTGAGGGTGACTTTGTGTGGGTGGGTGTTGAGAATTTGGGAAAAGGACGTCTCTCTTTTCGAGAGATCTTCTAGAGAGGATGTCGGGCCCGTCATATGATCCTGTCCTGCGATGCGCTTGATACGCACCGTTGAGGAGTGTTGAAGGCAGGACAGGTAAAAGCAGCCAGCCAAACGCCTGGCCCTTCCTGGGCGAGGAACCAACCAGCCGATGTGTCCGTCTGTCTTCTGGGGGCTAAAGAAAAGAGACACGTCGGCATCTTGTCGTGGTAGTTTGATGGTTAGTCACTCTATCTTCCATGGCGTTGTGCCCAGCTAACGGTTTTAGAAGAAATAGCTTGAGAATCCCAGTAATGGGCTACTAGATACATACTCCCGGGATGCGGTGATCTTCAGCCTAGATTACGAAGTTCCGGCATGCGTTGGGGAAATAGAAATCAAACCCATAAATTGTGAATAGATGTTCCCTCCTGCAGACCGCCGTGTTGTCGATAGATGTAGTCTTGTTAATCACCTGTATTCAATCTCATGTCCCAAAGACTCGACGAGGCTTGAGATGCGCTGTATACTGTGTTGGAGCTATCATCGTTGATACAAACGTTATCTCACTCCCAAGCTGAGCCAAACGGGAAACATGTCAAGTGGTCAAAAAGCCCAGAGTATGCCTCTAGTATGTCAACGACACTAACGCTAGTCCGTCTTATGGTTACAAAAAGAGAACACGCCCCTTGAGCCGGGCGTTTAACTCTAGATCAAACATGACTACACTCCTCTACACAAAGAAAGCGCCATCTACTCTGTCTCAAAACATCACCGCATCAAACAACAAGCACAGAATCACGCTTAACACAAATTATCCAACCCATCCTCCACATCGTCACCTACCCAACTAGCACCAACACACCAACCCACAACTCCCTAAAAGTCGCCAACTTGTCAAGAACCCAGATGAACCAAACAATAAATACCGATTGTGCTACATCACCCAATCAATTCATCGACAGACAATATATATACGCGCATCGTGACTCTCCCGGTGCTCCCCCCCCCCCAACAACCAAGACACAACACAACCAAAACACTTGACAGCCCAAATCCGAGAGCCTCCCCCTTCCCTTTCCATCTTCCTCTTTCCCCCTCCCTAGAACGAAGCCACAAGACAAGACCCGCCCCCGTCAATGTATTACAAGAGCAATATATTGCGTTATTTTTCGCAACAGCAGCAGCAGCAGCAGCAATCAAAACAAGTCAGGGTACAACAACAGAGCAGGGTCTGGAACGATTTCGTCGCATAGATGGATGATTGCTTGCTTGCTTGCTTGCTTGCTTCCTTCGTTTGCAATGTTGTGCACATGTTGCCATTCCTGCTGCTGCAGGGTACAGAACTAGGTAGGTAGGTAGGTAGGTAGGTAGGTAGCGCAGCGAAAAGAGAGAGATAGATGGACGGGAGCAACCAACCAACGCAAAGGTAGACGGAAAAAAAGGAAAAGAAAAAAGACAAATAACAACACAAAAGTCGAGTCGAGTCGTCGAGTCGAGGTATCATTTCGTTCTTCGATTTCCAGTCCCAACGAGAAAAGAAAACAGGCAGAGAGAGAGTAAAGAAAAAAAAAGACACGACCCGTGAAATTATGACGCGGAGAGAGGAGTTGTGAGGCTTGGTGGTGACGCGCGTTGATGATGATGATGTGTGGTGTTGGTGTTCTCCTCCTCACTTTCTCCAACCTAGCCGGACACATGGGGGGACCTTATTCAACTCAACATGAAAATTCCCGGGCCCGTCCCAAGTCATCCCCGGCGTTTCCATACACAGCCCCAGAAATACCCATTTCATATATACCAGTGTGACGTCCGTCCCATGCGTCACGCCGTCTGACTCGATAAACCCGTCGTACGTATCGCCAACCCATCGAGCATTATCGCTTATCCCACATCCCAAATCATCCAGTATTAATCTCTTCGTTCGCCCTATGTGTGTGTGTGCCCGGCACACTCACGACGCCTTTACCCCGCCTCCGTGCCTCTGGCCTTGCTTCTCCTCCGGAAGAAGTCCATAACCTTTCTCGCGGGACCGCTACTCCCAGAGTGATCGTGACCACGTGAGTACGAGTCGGTGTCCCATGCATCGACAAACCGCTTGTTCTTTTGCAACACTCCCCGACCAGACTTGCTGCCGGGACTGGGAATGGACGTGGGAGCTGGGCCAGATCCGGGGCCGATCACCCTACGTGCGTCGTATCCTCCGTCATCCTGGTGGGCAAGTTGCGGGAGTTGTGGGGCCGAGCCGGCGGGGCGGCGGACATTGTCCACGGAGGCGTCCGAGTCGGCACCGCCGAGGATCGGGGCAGGCATGAAGCCCTGACTTGATGATGGGTGTCCATATCCGTTGGAGGAATATTCGGGATGGCGTCCATAGGGATCCGTCGTCGGCTGCGGCTGCTGCTGGTGGTGGTCGTGGAGCTGAGCGTACATTCCGTCCAAAGTGGACGCATCAACCTGTTGCTCACGCGCCTCCTCGACGTTTTGGTCCACATTTTGTTCCACGTAACGTCGGTATTCCTCGGAGGTTGGCGGTTCCTGGATGGGTAAATCTTGCTGCGAGTCGAGCCGAGGGTCCTCCTTGCCGATACCGATGGCCTTGAGCGAGAAAGATGCCGGGATAAACGAAAATCGTCTGGCATTCTTCTCCTGTGATTTTTGCGAGCCACCCGTGATGCTCCCGGACGTCTTCTTGCCCAGGCCGATCGAGAAAGACCGCCGTGAGCGCTTCGAGTCTACCGATGCCCGGCCCTCATCGGCCCCAGATAGGGAGTTGTTCATGCTAATAGGCGGATACTTCTTCCCCTTCTCTGCGGTCGACTGCGGGTCCGGTCGTTTGCGGTTCTTACCGCCAAACAACGACCCACTCCGCCCAAAAAGCCTACCACCAAGATCGCCCATCGTGCTCGAGCGTTTGTGTCCCTTCGCGTCCCCTCCCGGCACACCGCTCGCGCCGGCCCCGCCTGCCTCAGGGGTAAAGCCAGAGAGCCCAGCAAGTTTGGGCGCCGTGCTTATGCTGCTGCGCCCATAATCTTGCACCTGGGGCTGCGTCGCCGAGCTAGGAATACCGTAACTGCTTGCGGTCCTGGGGGGCTGCTGGATCCTCCCATGCGCGTTCGTATCTGCAATCTCAGGCGGCGCCGGTTGGCCGTAGGAAGGCTTCGTGTTGGCTCCAGGGTTCCGCGAGGCTGCAGATTGTATGGAACCCCCGGTGCCGGGTCGGGCGGAAGAGGTACTGGTAACAGACGAATTAAAGGGTGCCTCACGGCTACTGCGCGCGGCGGAAGAGTTCGGGTTGCGATGGGCGCTTGGTGGTTTCCTCTGAGCGACAGGAGCTTTGGCATAGGCCTCGGACGCAGCCGGCTGGGCTTGCGGTACGGGCCGCTCCCTCCCTGACGACGAACCAGCCTCTGCCGCATCCACGGCTCCTTGGTTACCCGAGCGGGTACCTGTGCGGCTGCCGGAAGGCTGTGTGCCCGACGCCTCACCGCGCTGTGTCGTCGTGTTCGGTGCAACATACTCGACTTGTACAGTGCGACGCTTGTTATCCCTCTGCTGCTTGGCATTCGTCGCAGCCTCTGCGTCAGCATCAATAGTGCCCTGCTTGCTGACGAGACCGCCAATCGTGGGAGACACAGCCGTCTTCTTGGACGCCTCCCGCACGGACGAGCTCCGACCCAGGGTGGGGTTCTCCTCGTCTTCCGCCGGCACCGTCGTGTTCTGGATATCCCTAGGGCTGGTGGTACTCGAGGTGATGAATTCGACAACATGGGCGTACTCGTTAAGCCAACTGTGGCGCGCGACCTCGAATAGATCGGCTCGCTTGCGCGGGTTCGGAACGAGGATCCTGCGCAGCAAGTCGCGCGCATGTGGGGTGACGTATTCGGGGAACGTGAGTGGGGTGTTGACAATGTACTTGTACAGGAGGTTGATGTTGTCTCCTTCGGGGTTAGCCGGGTCGTCGTCGAAAGGCAGATAACCCGCAAGCATCGCGTACTAAATGAAGAGCGAGCGCCGGTTAGTACTGTCCGTGATTAGCTTCCATGGTCTAGTCACTCACCAAAATGACGCCACAGCTCCAAACATCAACCTTTCTCCCCGTGTACAGGGAGTCGCTAACTACCAACTCGGGTGCTGCGTAACAAGGGCTGCCACAGCTGGTCTGCATCAGGTCGCCCTTGCGTGAGCCGTTGGGCTTTACCCTGTCCAGGCCCATGCGTTTGACAAACTCGCGATCCGTGAGGTTCAACTCTTCCTCTTCCGTCAGGTCCTCATGCGGATCGAATGTGTTGGCAAAGCCGAAATCAGTGATGATAATGTTGCGGTTCCTGTCAAGCAGTAGGTTCTCCAACTTCAGATCGCGGTGCACAATGCCCTTCTTGTGGAGATACCCGACACCGGAGACGAGCTGGGCAAATAGCCGGCGCGCGGCGTTATCTTTGAGGTATCGGTGATTCAGGATGTAGTCGAACAGCTCGCCTCCAGAGGCGTACTCAAGGACGATGCCGTAGTGTCTATCCGATTCTTCCATCTTGTGCAGCCGTACAATGTTGGGATGGGTGAGTTGTTTCAGGATGGCCACCTCACGCATAATTTTGGCCATGCGGGATGGGTTGCCGCCCAACTGATCCTTTTTGATAAGTTTAATGGCGACCTAAAATACGTATCATATAGTTAGCATCGAAAATGGGGAAGGGAGGGGGAAAGACGATCCAACGCACCTGCACGCCGCCTTCTTGTTTCCAGCCAAGTTTGACTTTTCCAAACTCGCCCTCGCCAATGGTGTTGCCCAGGATGAACTCGCCGAACTTGGTCTGCTTTTCCCGCTTCGAGTGGTCGTGTCGGCTCCTACCGCCACGCCTTGTCTCTTCCGTCGGGTCTGCCATAGCCACCACCGGGGGTGAAGCGGCACCATCGCCGTCTCGTAGTTCGACGGGCTGGTGGGGTTGGGCCAGGGCCAAACGCTCTCGCTCGCGTTCAATGTCGACTTCGGGTTGGGATATCAATACGCTGTTAAGGATTTCGCTAGCCTCTCTCGAGGGTCCGTTGGCGGAGTGCGAATTCGAAGGCGGTGAGCGGGCAGGAGCGGCGGCTGACGGATTTCCGCGGGGGTCGCGGGCGCCGTTCACCCCATACGGGTCCTGGGGTGCTTGGTTTGACCGCCGGCTTCGAGAATTCGGGTCGGACGACGAGTCTATCCTGCCGTTCGCATCGCGACCAGAATCGGCGTGGGTTCGGCGGGACGGATCATTGGAGCGGTCGGGGTGTTGTTGGTACTGCTGCATCTGTGGCTGAGTCTGTGGCTGCGATTGTGATTGTTGCTGAGGTGGCTGTTGTTGTTGAGTGCGCCGAGAACTTGAAGTACGCGGTGGGACAGCGGTGGGCATATTTCGCCTTCGTTCTGTGTGCAGGTCGGGGGAATCCGTGCCCGACGCCGTGGGGAACGGCGACACGGGCGACGCAACAGCGGTGCGGGAACTCATTGGAGCGGTCGGGTCGGGGTACGCCCCGTCGTTTCCGGCGTTGGAGCCGTGAGAATAGCCTCGCGAAGGAGGAGATGTTAACGATGATGACCCCGAGGCCTCTTGGTTTGCATGATAGCCGGGACTGTCCCGCGTCGGAAATGGATGGGCCGGCGGGTATTGTCGATTGAACTGCGGTGATGCTGCTGATGTTGGCGTTGGGTGATGGGGCACCGCTTGGAGAGCACTAGACATTATTTTCCGCCTCGGCAGACGCGTCCAGTAAAGATAGTCGTGCTAGCAAAAGTGCATGCGGGCACGAACTAACTACCAAGCAAATAATCCTCTTCTGTACTTTTTTACCCTTCCCCCGCCTGGGTTTGGGAAAAACCGGTGCGAAAAGAGCGGGAAAAAATTTAAGAGAGAACGAGCGGGACGACGGGCGCGGCCTATCTCAGCGACAACACAAAAACGTCGCGGTTTGGCGTAATTAAACCTGTCGGTCGGTTGAGAGTCGGTCAAAGTCGGTCGGTCGAGCGAGAAACCCAGCGCCCAATTCCAAAAGCCAGCCTGCAGCGCTGCAGCCGCCTGCGAAGTTCCCTGTTCGTGTTATGGGAAAAATGGAGAAAATGATTGGGCCGCGTTCGAACTTCCAAGGTTGCCAGTGGTTGCTAATGGGCCAATTCGACTTTCATTGAGTGGTGCCGATTCAATGCCGGGAAAAGTCGCGCGCTGATTGACGGCCTAGTCTGGCGGCCGGGACAGGACGCGGACGACCACAAACTCGCAGCTGCGACGACGTTGGTGGTTGGGAGCGCGACGTGCTGAGATGCAGAGAGGTTGCTGTGGGTGGTGCTGCAGGTGGGCAACCAACTCGTTTGGGCCTTGTTTACTTGCGCCGCAGCCGCAGGACAATGGGGAATTGGGGGACGTCGGGTGGGACTGGGAGAACGGGGCCGGATGAAAAGGCTCGAGGGCGGGCTCAGGTAACGTAAGTTAGGTAAAGTGGTAAAAAAGAGAGTGAGAGGGATGGATGCCCTGTGCTCCGTGCGAATCACTCGCCCTTTGGTCGTGCAACGGTGGAGAGAGAGGATGGATGGAGGGGGAGATCGCGGGGAGGAAAAGAGAGAGGGCGGTGAGGTGGAAGGAGGAGTGTTCGAGGAGCTGCACCGCGGAAAACCTAGCCAATGACTTTGTCGTCGATGTGGGTGGTGTTTGGATGTTTTGGATCATTCCTTCCCTTGCTCTCGCCGCGCTAAGCTGGTTGTTTTCTGGCAAAGCTCCCGTCGTTCCCCCACTCCCGTCGGGCTCCTTCCTGACATTCACCCGCTAACAGCAAGTTAGGTAGTTCACGTTGGGGGCGCCCGACATGTGCGCTGCAATGGCCAGGAGGAATTGTACCTATTTCGGCCGGTCCCAGTTGGTCCCATTTCGCTCTGCTCCAGGCCGCCGTTTAACACCCACGTTAGCGCCATGGGGGTGATACTTTGTGCAGCCCCCAAACCCCATACCTCGTGCATGTACCGGCCCTGTCGGTTTTTTTACACCCAAACCCTTTAATTCCCCGGGTTGAAGCCCTGCGATTCCACTTCCATCTCACGGCGGTCAACACCGAGGTGTTCATCTTTCACAACATCTCGGGCCGAGCAGAAACCTGTTCTCGTCACAGACCACCTACGAAATGCTCAGCAATCGCCTTCTCGCCCAAAAAATATTAAATATCTACAACATAGTCAAGGACAACATGGTTGCGCGCGTCTCGTTCACATCTCCAGCCCCCTGGAGTGGCCAGAGTTCAGGCCTTGGTGTGATGTTTGCAGCAACCCGCCGGCTCGATTGGATCCCCGGCGCCTGTTCCGCAGATCCTCGTTGCAGTGCCAAGCGCTCCGTCATCCACCAGACCGAAAGTCCAAAGCTCGCTCGGCAGGCGGCCATAACCTGAGTGAACTTGCGATGGATCATGGCACTGTCTTGGCCGCGAAGACTTAGCGGCTCCGTTCCTGAGCCAAGTTCGATTCAGAACATGGTTCAAGGGTCCTCCTTTGGAGTGTGGTGGGCCATCAACTTGCCGGACACCGATCGAGCATTGAGTTCCACGCAAATGCTATCAAAACGGCTTGACGAAAGGACGCTGCACAACACGACCTAGAAATGAAATGAACAGGTTGTACCCTAACGTTACAGATCGAGTTGCGTATCCCTCGATCTTGCGACAACACTGGTACAACATGGTATGAGATAGTGCCGTCCCTGGCCCGTTCGAGCTGTCTTCGCGAAGAAACGGTGCATTCAAACCATTCGTCACAAAGACGCGGGTTCGCGCGTATAGTAACCAACCGCCAATGCCGCATGAAACATGTAGAATGACAAAGTCACACAGAAACAGGAAACCCGACCAAAGACGAGCCAGAAGTCGTTCAGTCACCGGGTTCATATCACAAAGGAACGGAGTCGCCGAGTAAGAAGGCATTAACGCCGGAGATGAAGCGCATATCAAGACACAGGGATCAGATGGCTTGCCGACTGTGACGGGCAAGATGCCGTTGCCAAACGGCAGCCGGTCGCAAAGAACGGTCCCAAAACGGCACAGACCATTTCGTATCCTTTCGGAACTGCGGCTGATCTGACGGTGGGTCTCCACCTCGAAAAGGAAAAAAAACGCCCGTCCCATGTCATCGTCATGATCGCATCCAGCGATTCCAACCAGGGTTCTTCCAGAAGCTTGCAGCCCGCGTAGCATCTCTTTTCTTCTTTTCTCACGTCCCGCTCCCTGTCCGTATCCCCGCCCATCGTGAAAGCTTCAGGATCGGGGTCCCGAAAACTGGGCTGACTGAATGTTCACGAGCCGCGCTGAAAACATGACAAAAATAACTAAAGATTGGCGACGATGGAGAAAAGGGGACCCCATCTCGCTCGTCTCCGAGTTCCCCTGTCCTGCTAGTCCTGCCCCTTGCAGCAACATGATGCACGTCCACAACACGCGCAGCAAGCAACCTGCAGGGCACGGCGAATCGAGCGAGATCTTGAGATTGATGTGGCTCAGGGGACGAGCACACAGATCGGGCCCGCGGCAACTTGCAGGTCGAGCGTGAGGAAGCGCTTTTTTGCGCTTCTCTGCAGCAACTAACTCCCAGGGCCGCGGCAGGACCTGCGTCCGTCCGCGGGAAGCAAAGCCTGTTCAAAGAACACACTCACTGACTGGGCCGCTCTGGTCTTTCATCTTTAAATATGAATGTCCGTATCCGTCGATACATAGTTGAAGTCGGTTGGTTATTGGGCCCCCAACCAGCCACATAAGACTTTAAGGACGGGACAACAAAGGGAATATGCCCAAATGGACTTTTCACATCTCCCTCCTGCCCCTCCATCGGCAGTTGGTCTGCTTGGCAAAAAAGGTATTTTTGTAAAAGGGGACTATGACGTTGTGCCGTCCGCGAAAGACATGAGATCGAGAGACCTCTTGAAACTCCATCCCAACCAAATCTTTCTCTTTCCAACCTAGACAAGCCTAGACGTAGAGAAGAGAATTGTGAGAAAAAGGATCAAATACTCAACTCCAAGAGCATGAACAGAAAGAGGACGGCATAGGGATGAGTAACCAACAATAAACAACCCCCCCCCCCACCTAACTTACTATGTACACTAGAAAGCAACAACTCAGCCCCAACCCCTCACCTCACCCTCGTCTTGAACAACTTCACAAGGGCCCTACCAATACACTAGCAGACGCCCCTTTTCAAGTATTCCAGTACTATGTAAACACGGACACCCACTTCCTCACTAGTTACACAACCTTCTTATACCCTACCCTACATGTCCCGTGCAGAGAAATGCGACATGTGAAATGCGAACTGCGCTGCACCACGCCGACCGGGTAACTGCCTCTTTCTCAAACCTCAGCCAGGTAACTAACGCCCCAAGCCAAGTTCTTATTTTCATGTGACCCAGGGGGTCAAGCAGCAAGACACCTAGTATGTATACCTAGCTAGCAAGGCAACGAATCTACTATGTAAGACATACGTACAGCCAGGCAGATACCCAGATAGATAGCCTGATTGATACCCAGATGCCCAGACACAGACAGCCCCCCCCTTCTTTGTCTCGGCAGCCTGCGCCCTCTTGTGACAGGCCTCTACCTAAAATAAAAGACCAGCGTCATCTCATAATCACCAACCCAGCAGTACTACAGTGGTCTGTACCGACAGACAACGACCACCGTCTCATTATTTCAGAAAAGGATGGTGATGATAGACACGATGCTGTATGTACAGGAGAGTTCACGACGGACTTTGTGTGTTTAGGCCTCGAATTAGGATAAAAAATTAGGTAGTTAGCCTCATCTCATAAGAACGAATCCAACAGTACACTACCCACAGTAGTTCATTCTGGCAGAAAAGGACCACTATCTCATTATCAGAAAAGGATGGTGATGATAGACACGGTGCTGTCTTCATCCGTCCCGAGCTCCTCTGCGCAGCACCGTGTCTAACGCCCCCTTCTAATTATGACACGGCGGTCTTTTTCCGCCGACATGAACTACCGTGCTACTATTAAGTTGTTATGAGATGAGGCTACTTAGTACTTTTATGCCAATTCGAGGCCTAAACACACAAAGTCCGTCGTGAACTCTCCTGTAGGAGGGTAAGTTATTAATGTAGTGAGAGGGAATAAATTCAGCATAGAAATGTCTAACCGCTGTAAATTGTGTGCGGTCACCGTTTTATACACATTATATAGCACGCCTTACACACGCATAACTGTGTATACACAACCGTACATCGTACACCTGACATTATCCAAAACACACACACACACATCTCACAACTTAATACTAACATCATACACATCCAACCCCACCGCAACCCCCGTGACCACAACCATATACCCCCCCAATACCCCCATCGTCGCAATCCGCCCGACATCCAGGGTCCGCACAGTCATGTTCACCAGCCCCGTCAGCAGGTTCGCCAGCAAAAACACGGCCAGGCCGTTCCGGTTATACGCGCGCAACACCCGGCTCGTGGCAGTCTCATACACTTCCTTTTCGGTCTTGACATCCTGGGCGCGGTAGAAAGCCGGGAACAAGAGTGTGTCGACGCCGGCGAAGGCGAGGAGGAGCACGCTGTTGGAGGCGACGACCCAGAGGATGTAGGGCAGGTTGGCGATGCGACGGGAGACGGTTAACGCGGCGCCGTAGGTGTAGTCGGTGGTGAGGAGGTAGAGAGCAGTCCAGAGGGCGGAACGGGCAGCGAGATGGAGGAGGAGGGTTTTACGGCGGGATCCGGTAGAGGAGGGGGAGAGATTGCGGGGTAGAACGAGCATGCCGGTGTCCTGGCCGGCCAGGAAGATGGCGAGGTAGCCCCAGAAGCTGAAGATTCCTTCGCGGTTCATGGATAGGAGGTCGACTCGAGGCCCTGTGAGGATGTAGGCTTTCAAGTCGGTGCTCTCCAGCACAACCTGGTACAACACGCCCAGCAGGAGAGCAAGGCCGGCGTAGGAGGGCACGAGTTTAAGGGCGGACTGGAACAGGGCGACAAGAGGCGGCAAGAAGCCCAGAGTGAAAAAGAAGTTCCAGTGAACTCCGTACTCCGTGACGTGTTCCGCATAGTCAAGGCCCTTCACGCTGAGCAGCCGGACCACGCCGAGCGCGAGCAGGGGCAACGAGTGCCGCAGCGAGCGTATCAGACGGGTGGCGAGTGGTGTGGTGTGGTTGCCGTTGGCGCGCTCTTTGAGCAAGGGGCGGGACGCGACGAGTCCAGCAGAAAAGACAAACGAGCCGACGCCCATATCCATCAAAGACGTTCCCCAGGTCTCAACCTTGGCAAATCGGCGGGGGAACAGGCGGAAGTCGACGGCGAGGATGCAGATGCAGGTGACGACTAGCATGTTGCCGCGGTAGTTGGTCAGGAAGGGCTTGGTAGAGAGCCCTCCTGCCGATGTCTTGGTGTCATCTTGCTGCTTCTGGGCCTGGGGAGGCACCTGGGGTTTCTTTCGGCGCGGGGGGGAACCACCGGTGGAGTCGAGGTAGAGGAGGCCGGCAGGCAGTAAGAGGAGGATGTTGAGGAGGAGGGGCACGCGAGAGTAGAGGGTCACGGAAAGGAGGAGGGCGCCGACGTTGAGGAGGAAGTCGACGACAAAGGCGATCGGGGTGTAGGGTTTGAAGAAGGACTGGCGGGCTTGGAGGACGGACCAGAGGAGGGAGACGACCTGTGACGAGAGGAATTGGGTGGTCAGTAACTGCGAACGGTGACTACGAAGCAATCAATCAATGGGAGTAGTGTGGCGTAGCGTGGCGTGGTGTGCGAAAGAGAAGATCATACAGGTGCCACGGCGCAGACCTGGGCAATCTCAATCGCAGATCCGCCCGACAGGTTGGAGACGAAGTCTTCTTTCAGCTGTTTGTAGCTGGGTATGCCTCCTCCTACTTCCCCTCCCACTCCCGGTCCCGCGTCCGCCATGACAAGCCGATATCGTTGAAGAAAACAAGAGAGGAATGGGAAATCCGAAGTACGGATAAATGAGAGTCAAAGAGGGGGACCGAGTGGCAAGAATCAAGCGAGCATGCAAGCAAGCATGGCTCTCCACACACCAGACAAAGACAAGGCGAACAGGTGTGGAGGGATGTGGCGGAACTAGCGGAAGCCGGCAGTTGATTGAGCTGCTGTGTCGAATTAGGTAGGGAATTGGCTTCAGAAAGTGAGGAAATTGAGTTGCTGAGGAGGTCGAATACGGTGGGTTTGGCAATCGCTCGTTCTTGCCGTCTCGCGAATGTGTGATGCCAGCTTGCGGCTTCCCGAAAGTCGTGGGCCGTCAAGGTACCAGGGCCGTTGGAAAGCAGCTGGTTCAGCCAATGAGGAGCTTTAAAGGTGCCCCAAAGGGACCCACTGGCTGCCAAGACCCGCTCCCTCGTCACATTCCAGTTCCAGACGCCGCATTCCAATTCCAGATTCCAGCCTCAGCTCAAACGTCAACTTTCATCCTCTTTCACTGAAGCCTCTGGCTCTGTCGGAAGGATTTCCGGCTCTCTTATGGTCAAATTTTTACTTGGTGGTATCCATCAGCTTTGGGATGTTTTATGACATCTTCTGGCCTAACTATGTTATAGTATTATAGCAATATCTACTTTTCCTAATAACAATTCATTATTTCCAAACAAAATCAAACACAGGTTAAGAAAAAGAACTCACTCTCCCTCCCTTCACAACTTCGACCCCGGGATTCAAGACACAGCAAACAACTGACGTCCGCACCTACTGGGGTCTTCTTTGTTCTCCTGACTGGGCTGTGCCGGACAACTGCACAACTCAGGCGCCCAGCGGCGACGCCGTGGGAAACTGTATTGCGTAGCATGCCACGGCACTTAGCACATAGCGCATACAACACACACACAAACCACCCAGAAGAAGGATGATGAGGGGGTTAATTGGGGAGATAACACGGGCGGCGCCTTTGTCTTTGTCTCAGTCTCCAGGTGATGGCCTCCCCGATGATGATGGAGGAGTGTGATCTGGGTCGAGCTTTGTCTCGCGCTGCTGCGTCCGGGTGACTCAGGCGTGATGGGCTTGCTTTGATGATAGAGAAGTTTTTTGGTGCGGGGGGCGAATAGGGTCTGAGGGAAAGGAGGAGGAGGAGGAGGAGGAGGAAGTGCTCAGGGGCAAACATAGAAAAGCAAGCATGGCCGCCGTCGACTGCACCACCGCCGTTATATCTGGGGAGAACAGGTAACGTCAGCTCCCAACATCACCACTGCGTCTTACGTCTGTCTCGAACCATAGCAAGCTTAACCTTACCTTTGTGCTTAACGTTACTTCCGTCCGTCCGTCCTAGTGTGATACTACGGCACTTTGTATCTTGTCAACACTGTCAACACTGTCACCATGGAAACGCAGACTCGACCTCGCCCCGAGCTGCCTCCTGTTTGGACGGGCCGCGATGACCAGCCGTTGGCGTACCCCAGGGCCATGCCCCAGTCAGCCATCAGCCCCTTATTCTCGGCTTCTGCGAGCCTGCCCAGCCCGATCTACCCGGCGTCGCCTGGCCATGACGCGATGAGGGCCCACGAACGAGCTTTGGTAGATCGGCTAGACCGAGTTGACTTTCACGGGCGACGCGAATCGCAACTGTTGTCGCCTACTGCCGTCCGCTCGCTTTCACCCATCTCGGAGCAAAAGGCCGCTTCACATGGGGATGCTACTCGACGCGTGTCTGTCGCGAGCCTCACTCAGCCGACGCCCTCTCCGCAAACTCCCAGCTTTATCATCCAGCCTCACGTAACGCCACAGACTATTGCCGCCCAGACGAGGGAGATTCTGATGGAGGGCGTGCCCGATAACACACCCATTCACTCGACACACCCACGGCTGCCACTTTCCCTGCCTCTGCCTCTACCTCAGCTTCAGCCTCCGTCGCCCATCAACACCAGTATCGTTGACGGCCGTCGCCCGTCACTCCCACCGCTGTCACCGGCCAGCCCCTGGCAGAGTAGCGCTGAGGTGCGCCAACAGCTCCGCAGCTGGGGGCGTCTCTACTTTAACAATATCTCTACCGCTGATTGTCTCGTGACTGCTGTCTCGCTTCGGAGGTATAGCGATAGCGCCTCACCATTGAATGATAAGGCATCACCACTCGGAGAAGGAGAAGAAGAAGAGGGATCAACAAAGGACCTGAACCAGAACCTCGAACCGTCTTCCCCGGTCCCGCCCTCACCGTTCACAAGCAGACAAGGAAAAGTCGCCTACCGCGTCCTGGTCCGGCCGTTCGAACCCAACCGTCGGCCTTTCTTTGTTCGCCGCGAGTTCGACATGGATGGCCTCCGATCCACGATCCCGGACCCGGGCCCTCCATCAGCACCAGCATCAACTCCAGCCTCGGCGCCGATGGCCAGGGCCGTGCCCACGTCCGTGTCCGTGTCCAGCGCAGGGCCCCGGCGTCACTCCCACTCCCATCTCCAACCCCGCGATCACCAGCAACCTTCCCTGTCTTCACCCTCCCGGAGCTCCTTGCCCTCACTACCTTCTCTGGCCTCGTTCCATCCGCCACCACCACCACCACCATCATCATCATCCCCCAATACCACCCGGAAGATTCTCCCCGCAAACCGGCGTCGCCCGTCCGCTGTGGCCGCAGCGGCATCAGGAGCTGGAGCAACCGTCGTAGGCACCACCCGGCACGGCCAGAGCCGTTCCCACGGCCTCCCCAGCCACGGTCTAGATGCCATGGACCGGTCTGCCCAGCTGAGGCAGAGCACGAATACAGTGCCGATCCGTGCGTTGTCTTTATTTTTTTTTTTTACCTTCCCCGCATCCTGTATCCGATCCAATGTGATCCATACCTCACCTTACCTACCTGAATATTACCCATGCTGACTCGTCCAGACCTCAAATACGCCAAATCCTTCCTCCCCGCTCTCGCTGCCCTGCTCTACTCGGGTCACATCCGCCACAAGCGTGATACCATCGACCTGCCGCTACCACACCCGGCCGCGTGGGCCCATACGGTTGCATACTTGTATACTGGGCGCGGCGGGTTGTTGACGGATGCGGTGAGGGAGAATATTTTGTATTTGGGGGGGAAGGTTTAGGCGTTAAGGGGTAGGGATATGGATGGGATCGTAGTGGAGTGGGGAATGTGAAAGGCAGAGATGTAATTTACTGGTTATGGATATAAACAGAGATGTAGACACTGGGAAGGTCATGAAAATGAGAGAGAAGGGCAGGGGAGAGTCAGTGACGCCCGCAATCAAGGTAGTACATGAAAGATTCCTATGCTTACACCTCATCAGTCCACCCATCCCATCTGAGTGGTCCTCGCTCACATGACACGAGTCCTAGGCAACGGCTGCCGCTTGGACATTCACACCGTCTTGTGCTCTCTATACAACTGTCTTGTGGCACTCACCATACCCAAACCTCTGCGTTCTTTCAACCATTTTATTCTCAGTATCGTCCCTAGTAAGAGTATCAACCATCATCTCCTTGTAATAACCACACTGCCTTCAGTACTTACAAACTTACCCTCGAGCTACCCAAACGAATGAACACAAATCCCCAAAGTCCCCAACCACAAAACCCCCCAACCCCACAATCCCCAGTCTCCATACTTCCCCACGTCCTCCTCTATCCAATCTCTCCACTCTATCCTCTGGGAGTGGGAGTCCGGGAGTCTGGGCACTAACCGCCCAACCGCCCCTCGGATACCTCCGTGCTGGACGCCTCCCACCCGAGCCACCGAAAGAAAAGGCCCCACGGCAAGCTCCGTGCATATCAAGACGTAGGCAACTCTGAAAAGCAAGAAACCACCACATAGATTTAACAGTTCCCGCACTCTGGAATCGCGTGAAATGATCAACTTGGTTCAACTGACCTACCGATCGTATCAAATCCCAATACCCCTAACTATACATCCCCAATATCTTTACAAAAAGAACCCCAAGCTCTCAACGTCTCAACGCCCCCGCAACATCTCCATCTTCCCCCAGATGTCTACCTGTCTGTGCGTCTCAACCTTGACCTTGACCCCGAGTCAGCAATCAGCCTCCAAGCCCCCCACAGCCGGCTAGTCAGGTATGTCAAAGTCCCCTCGTCCCCAACAAGCTTTCTCCCCGAATGTGACTTGGTGCTCTTGCTCGAGTTGTTGCTCAAATATGCTCTCGGCCCCCCTCGGTCTCGTCTCCCAGGGCACGCCTCCATCCTGGGCTGGTTGTATGGACCGCACCGTCTGATGTTGACTTTTCTGGCCGGGGTTTCCTTCTGTTGGTCCTTATAAGTACTTGTGTTGTCACGTTGCGCAAAAGTCAGCGCGTCAGGTCGGCAAGGTCAGGTCGGCAAAGTCGGGAGGTCGGGTAAATCAGACGTGGGCATGTCATTCATTGTCAGCTACACTACCACACTACCTAGTCAGCTACACTAGTCAGCTACTCAATCGGTTGGTTAGTCAACACCATACAAAACAGTACACACACACAATCTCGCCCCCGGAGTCCAACGCCACAATCGCCGAGGCCGAGGGGTTCTAGATCGATCGCACGATTTACCCCTCCTCTACGAGTTTCGGTTCTGGTAGTTTCCGCCGCCGTCGTCAAAAGATATTTCTGCCCCCCTCTTTCTTCTGTATATAAATGTGAAGGAATAAACTTCGTTGCTGTTCCTGTTTTTCTCTTCCTGTTGGCTCTCGGTTTGTTTGCCAGAGTGAACATTGGGGGGTTCGAATAGATATTATATCACTGGTTGATATTCCACGCCCGGAACTCATCAATTTGACTTGACTTAGCTTGATTTACCCAAACTCTCACTCTTCTTAATCACCTTCTTACTTACCTTCATTACACACCCCACAACACCATCTAACACCACACACTCCCTCACCAACCAATTCTCATGGCCACCAACGAACTCCGCCCACCCCGTCCACCCCGCCGACCCCCCCTCACCAGCACCGTCTCAGCCCCCAATATCTTCTACCGCTCCCTAGACCCGACCCCGGCCCCGCTCGTCTACATCAACGGCTGGCATGGCATCGGCAAAGAGACCGTGGCCGAGTGTCTGACGCTGCTCCTGGGCCGGCCCAAGTCGCTGCTCATTGACGTCCGCAGTGTTGGGTGGGAGACACCACCGCCGCCGTCTTCTGGCGATAATGTCAGCGGGAGAAGTCGGAGGGGGAGTTCGATTGCGGCGGGGGCGGCGGCCGCGAGCCGGGCTGAGGCTAGGTATCGAGGTCAGCAGCAGCAGCAGAATTACCAGCGAAGCCGTCGTAATAGCCATCACGCTGGTGCCGGCCACCAATTTCATGAGCACAAACATGAGGATAGCCGCCAGCGTGATCATGGACCCGAGTATGGCCAGGATCACAACGCGGCACTCCTAACACCAGAGCACCCGCGGTATTTCTCCTTTGACGCCGACTCCGACACCTTTCCCTTTGGTCCCATCCCAAAGTCTCCCTCATTGCTCGTCTCATCACCCCCGCCTGCGACCACAGTCACGGCTACAGCTGCGCCCGCCCCCGTGCCTGCGCTCGCGTCAGCAACCCTCGCCTTCACCCTCTCCTCACCGACCTCCTCAACATTCTCACCACCCACTTCCCGCTCGGCCTCCTTCTCGTCCGAATCAACCGCTAGCACGGGGACGTCCTGCAGCTCATGCAGCTCAGCAACTGTCCAGCCCCCCGGAGACCAAGCACTCACCCCGTCGCGGGTGACGCCGACATTTTCGTCGTTCCTCCATCTTGGCGGCAACGATGGTGATGATGATCATCATCGTCGTGATCGTCCTATTTATTCACCCCCTATTTCGCCAACCACAGTCACCGCGACCTTGGAAAAGGGCGGTGGGGGTACCAGGCCCCGGATCTCATCGTCCATCATGGCCCCGATTTCCGCCGTCACATCCCCGACCACGGCCGCAGCAATCAAAACAGCAGCCGGCATCACCCTCCCAGCTCCGGTCCCTTCCGTAACCCCTTACCACAACAACACCGCCACCACCAACCCCCCTTTAGCACCAACCAACCCCTTGACCCAAAACCTCCAGACCCCGCAACAATCCTCCCAAACCCCCCTAACCCCCTGCAGCACCCAAAACCTGACAAGCCTCCTCGCCCTCCCCCACAACCGCACCCGCATCGCCATTCTCCCAGCCTACTGTCCCGATACCCCGTCAGGCCGTGCCAGCATACGTGTTTTCGAAGCCGCAGCATCGCGCGCCGGGCGGCCCTTTGTGGCGGTCGCGCTGCGTTGCGAGGAAGGGGTATATCGGGCGCGGTGGGAGCGCGGTCGGAGCGTGAGTGTTAAGGGAAGGGGGAAGAGGGGCGGTTTGTCTGCGGTTGGGAGTGCGGGCGCGAGTTTGAGTGCTGGCGCCGGTGCGAGTCTCAGCGCGGGTGCGAGTCTCAGCGCGGGTACGGGAGCGAGTGGGAGTGGGATTGGAAGTGGGAGCGGGAGCGGGGGTGTCGAAGGTTGGAGGAGAGGGAGTATTACTGGGATAACGGGGGCCCCGGCGGGGTATCGTGAGAGAGCGGGTTCGGGCACGATGGGCAGCGGTGTTCACGGTGTCGATGGTGGACGTCACAAAGACGAAATTGAGAATCGCAGCGGTGATGGTGATGTCGGGACTGGGACGGCCGATGGCTCAGAGCATGCGGGAAAGAGACCAGTAACTGGTACTGCTGCTGCTCTTGTCACCCCAATAAGGGACCAGGAACCCGAGACAAAAGCCACCAAGGGCCCACGCCCGCTGTCAATGCTGCCCAACTCAGCTCAGGGCACTAACCAGGAGGTTAGCAGCCAAGGGGAAACAACAACGCATACCAAAGACGAACCCTTCGACGAGGAGACAACCCTCTGGACCGAGGGCCACGGCCCAGGCCTGGCAATGCCCGGCAAGACCGGCCTGACGGTCGACGTCACCCGTGTTCCAGCATTCGAAGCTGCCCTCCGGATTGTCGAGCACGTCAGGGGCCTCGACAACGGGCGAGGATGCTGAGTAGCGTCACAGCAGTTCGAACCGCTAGGGAGGCCGGATCAAATCGGAAGTGCCAGAGCCGGACTAAGGGAGGGAAAGGGGAGGAGGACGAAGGGGAACAAGACAGGGCATGAGGTCTTTTATAATAGTCCCCCCCCCCACGGTTCACGCACGCCCTCACGGTTAGCTGCACCCATCCGGTCTGGGAAGGTAGCCAGACTTCCTCGCTCGCCCTGCCTTTCACACCCTCCACACGGTCCGTTTCGGGCAGCCAAGACGGGAGTGGGCGACTGACCTCCTTGAGAAGCCGAAGCCCGGCATGTATGATTGCCCTTCTTCACATTTGCTCTCTCTCTATCCTCTCCCCCCTGGCCCTCGAGGCCGAGGCAGCGACGGCGGGAGGCACGAGCCACAGACCGCGAGGCACATCAGGCACAAGAACACACGAGGCAAGCCGCAACGCCGCATCAAGCGTGTGTTGTGTGTGTCTTCCGGTTGTCTGGCCCGGTTCCCCCCTTTCATTGGTTCCTTTTCCCTCGCGCCCGACCCAAGAAGCGAGACCAACCGGGCCCAGGGCGAGCCACACCGGTCACGAAAAGCCACACACCGCTGTGATGATCACACGGCAAGGCAAGGCCAGACCAGACCGGGCCACTCAGGGCCCCGTCCCCTTGCCCGTGCCCGTGCTTGTGTCCGTACCCATGCCTCATACAGCAACTGTTTCCGGCCATGGACGTCTCTGGCCGCGTATCTTGGCGCCTGCATCCGGAAACCGTTTTATATTGGCTACTATCTCGGTCAGACCCTGCTTGTTTCATCGCCCTCCCTGGCTGCAAGAGAGGGACGGGCCGCTCTGAGACACACACCAACGATTGATGCTGCGAGATACGAGAGGCGATTCACACTCGGGCCTTTGGTTGGCGGGTGTTGTCAAGGTAAACCCTCGAAATCACTCATTGCCTTGCCTAGCCTCGTGAGTCGTGAGCCAATTCTGAGTCTCCCTGTCGTACAGATCCGTCCACACACCTTCTCCCACACCTTGCTTCACCTCGGTTCCATTTTGGGCGCAACTCTTTCTGCTGGGCAATCCCAGACCGAGGTGAAGCCGCAATAAGGGCAAGGTGAGAATGGGAACATGATTAAAAAAACATACAGGCTTCGGGCCAGCCTCACCCGTTGATCAAGCAACAAGCCAGGGTCTTCATCATCTCCTTACACACCCCCTAGAGGCGGGGGGTATAGAGGGGGTGTGGTTTTCAGGGGTTGGATGGACGGCCCCGTCGGGACAACTCACACAGAGACGTGTCGTACAACACGTCATCCCCACAACCACGAGACTCCCCAGTCCATTCTCTCTCCCACCGCAGGTCCGCACACGACCTCCCACCACACGGAAGAGACGCGGAAGGCGATCCCCGGAAGACGATCCCCGGGACGGCATCTTGCATATTTCCCCCACGATGCTACCGGCAAGCAACAAAAACAAAACAGCCAACCCTCTTCCCTCCCCTTCGAATTGCTCCTGGCCAGTCCGAGTCCTGGATGGAAACGCAGAAACGGCGAAGCGAGTGGGGAGAACAACCGAGCGGCAGCACCGCAGCGATCGTCCGCTAACTCATGCTTGGCTCCAACGAGGATGGGTGTGGGCTCGGCGCCAGGGGGAAGAATGGGGGGGGCAACTGGACTGCCGAGGCTGCATGTCCCAATGTCAGATTTCATGCTGCCGACGTCTCAGGCGGGAGACGCGTTGACTTCATATTCGCGCGGCGTCGGTGGCTTGGGTGCTTGCATGGTCATGTTGTCGATGGGCGTCGCTGCATTTGTCTAACTACATAGTAGTTTGCTTTCGAATTGGAGCGGATCAAACCCGAGAACTCTGGGTCCCGGAGTAGCCTGTTGTTGGGAACGGTGGTTCCATATCTCAGCATGTCGGAATACATACCCGAGCAATCACCTGTTCGGTTAATAATGTTTCAAGCATCTGTAACTGTCCCGTGTGTTGTTGTTGTCAAACCTGAACCCATCAATGTCAACCATCAACAGATCAGCCGTCTCATACTTGTTCCTCGCACATTGAACTTACTAGCTCATACGGCTTGTCGCCTTTGCCACGTCTCTTGACGGTCTCCATCGTCTCCTCCAACACCCATCAAGCACCTCCACCAACGAAGGCATCGTCAGGAACACCCCTGGGCATTCTCCCATGTCTCCCACTAACGCCATCAACCAGACGGCTTTCTTCATTTCCTTTCCGAAATGGGACAGTTCCGGGGCCAACATCTTCTGCGCTTGACCATTCGGTTCCTCCGCCCTGCATCGTCCCTTGAAAGACCGCCAGGTACACATCTGGTACATCGCTTCTCAGAGGGCCAGAGTTTGAGAGTCAACTGTTCGCGCCGCCCCGTCCAGGCCAAACAGGGGCCAGGGCCATGGCAAGGATAACAGCAGGGGTGAGAAGAGAACCCCATGTTTGCCCCCCACTCTCCCTCCGATCACCGACGCGGCCCGAAACTAAGCCCGCACAAGCAATGCCCGCGGAATCAATCCCCTTCCAGCCGCCGAAGCGCGGCCGATCAACGGCGGCAAAGAAAAGAACCGTACGGATTCCTCCGTTCTGTGACCCCCAACAACAAACCGCCCTCCCCGCCTCCCCTCCATCAAGTTGGCGCAATCAATTGCCCGAATGCAACAAAACTCGCTCCATCACAATTTCGCCCTCAAGTCAACGCGAGCTCCACGACCAGACGAGGTCGAATGCAACGGTCATATCGTCGCGAGGAGGTTCGGTGTTGGTTACGTTAACCCCGGGGGTGTTACCAGCTAACGGCCAGAAGTCCTTGATCGAAGGATATTTTCTATCTTCTTCGATTTCCTCTCAAGGGGGTCTCCGTGGCCAGTAATGGGTTTCTTGTTTTGGTCCCTGGTTACCTTTCTCACACAGCCCAGGCGTCTCGGATTTCGCGGCTTATCTGCGGTCTGGTCCCTAGGTGCCTCGTCGATCAGGAAATAGAGGGAAACGGCCATGTGTTCGTTCGATATGGGGTTTCCTCCCTTTCGTCAACCATTGGACGCTTGCCGTCCCTCATCAACCACCCCACCATTTTTGGAGAGGTGCTTGCCAAGCAAATTGGGGGAAAACGAGGCGAAGACGATTTCGAACACTCGGCCCTGTTTCTGGCCGCAAGTTTGCAAGTCTGTTCGAAGAGAGGAGGCAATACTACCACTCTGTAGTAGAGAGACTACCCATCCACCCCCGCAAGGTTATTTCTCTCAAGATACCTTGAAAGTGTGGTCCTTTAGCCAACCCACATCGGCCAAGGTAGTGTAGAATAAGTGGAGGTGGGCATGCCATCGTCTTACTGCTTTTGGTAAACCCGGGCGGGCAATCGACGAAAGATGCGTAGAACTTGTTCTCGGCTGGTGTGTCTGCCGGCTGCTCGTCGTCCATGAACAGTCTGTTCGATGGTGGGAAAGCCAAGCCTGTTGGCGGAAGTTCCAGAAACAGGGGAGGAATTCACTGTAGCATTTACGCGATCATCGCTGCTTCTGGCTGCTGCTTTCATCGGAGCAGGAGAGAAAGGGGTCCTGCAGTGAGCATCGCCTGTCGTACCGGGCCAATCGCTAGTCCTCGTCTCGCCGACACGCCCTAGTCAGTTCCTCCCGCTATCTGTCTCCATCTGCAGCGTCCCTTCATGGACCAGGCCCTGTCGTAACACCCCTCTCTCTTCTTCGTCCAAGGTTATTGATTGACGATGGCGTGCATGACGCGCCCTTCGGCCCAGATTGAGAACCGGGGGGTTGAGGTATTGTGCAGACTCAAGACGGTATTAAAATGCAACATGTCGCTGCTCATCCCAAACAGAGTCTTCGATTGGCAAAAATGGTGACGGTCAAATTGAGTATCTGCGTGAGTCTCGCCATCGTGTTCTCCAGTTTCGTTTCGTTTCGTTTCGTTTCGTTTCATTTCATTTCGGGCGTTGAATCACGTCAAGCGGCCCCAGATTTCCGATCCGCGCGGACCGTTAGCAAAACCTTTGCTTTTTTTCTTCACCAGGGGTCCCCCGGCCGGGTGCGGGGCAATCTGCGGGTCCGCTCCCGCAGGGATTCCAAGACTTGATTTCACACCCGTATCACCGGCGGCTGTCCATCTTGTTTCAATACTTCGTAGCCGAGTCTGCGTCGTGTGCTGCGTTAAACTGCGCCCGCATACTAGTATTAGAGCAGAGAGGCGAGAGGAGAGAGCAGCGTGCGCTTGGGTAAAAGCCACTTTGGTTTGCTGGTGACGCTGAGCTGGCAAAGCGGGCGCTTGCCGCGTGTGGAGGGCGAGGATGAGTCGCAGTGAGTGTACGAAGTCCACTAGTTAGCCCCATGCATCCATGGTGGCCAGGGGTTCTGAGGAGCCGCGATCGAACCGGACGCCAACAAGAAACCAACAAGGCCTTCGACAACAGTGGCTCAGGTACTCCTCGGTTTCCAATTTGCGCGCATCAATTCTGAAATCCAGAGCCAGTCAGGAATTCATCGACACCTTCCCCTCGAGCTTGCCCGAGCCTTTGCGCTCCGATAAGCTTCTCGTTTCGGAGATTTCTGCTTTCCGTTCAGAGCGTGGATCAGGAAATTTTGAGGGAGATCGAAGCCGCTCCGCCGCCCGAAAATCTTCGACGTAGCGGGCCGGGAGCAGTTGTTCCTCCCGCAAGCCACAGCGCCAGCCGATTGCCGACTTCGTCGTCCTTTCTCCCCCTAGCGTAACACTTGTATGTGTGTGCCCTGGAAGTCGACGTGGATGGCCAACCAGATCGCGGATTGAAGCCGTTTCCCTCACGTGAGGCCATCAGTGCTGTGAAACATCTGCACTCGAGGCTACCGTCGTAATCGACCTCGGACCGTCCCCCATTCGGAGGAAAGCAATCAAGGGAGCATGTTGTTCGTGACGCAATCTGAGCTTGTCAGGTCATAATAACCGTCACCATTTCCGGATCGTGTTGCATGTCCGCACACACTAAGTAAATTGGCCCATCCTCGCTGTGGCCAAAAAAAGCGGCAGACTAAAACAGTTAGCTTAGGTAACATTCGATATTGATTTACTCTTTTTCGGCTTTTTTTCACCTTTTTGTTTTCTTCTTTTCTGTCTTCTTTCACTTTTTTGAATTATTCTTTTTTGTCTTCTTTCACTTTTTTGATTTATTCTTTTTCGTCTTTTTTCACTTTTGTAGAAAAGTAAGTTAGCAAGTTACCTGATCTGCCTCTTTTTTGACCATCCACTTACCAACCGCCGGCGCTGGCGCCGAGGGAGTCGGGGTCATTGGAATGGGGTGGAGCCTGGCGGGCCTAGCCACAACCCCCCGGGGCATTTCGGCGCACCATTCAACCGTTTCTCCATCCTCGAAATTCCCCGCAGGCTTCGCGAGCTGGCAAATGGGGTGTACGATTTCCCTCACTCTGTTATCTTCCCCCGTTGATTTCCGATGCAAAAGCTCGGTTAAAGGGAGGCTAACTCTGCGTTTGTCACGAAAACTCCCAACTGCCGCGTGAATACGGGGGGAAGGGCGAGGTTGTCGCAGTGTGCGTTTGCTTGCTCGAACAACAATACCACGACGGGAAGTCCTGCATCGGAACACCCTCCCTCCCCAATCTGAATGAGGTGTCGTCCATGCATGCATGTGTACAACTAACGGGTGCGACTTCCGGCATATTAGCAAATGTCCGTTGCTGCACTGTGATGCCGGCCGAAAGACACTCACGAAACGAATTCAAGGATGGTTTAGACTCTCGCACACAGTGACGAGATGTCGACACAAATCTACCCGGTTTGTTTTTGCGGGACGAGGAACGCAGACACAACGCATACATAGTACTCAAAAGTAAGCAAGCACGGTAACTTGGAGTGGAGTTTTTCCCGAGCTCGATTGTTTCCACCCCTGGGGTGATAACTTTCTCATGCTCGTCATCTTGGCGAAGGATTTTTGCGTGGTCGGCGACTCGTGAAGCGGATGCTGATCGTGAGTGCATGGGGACAAGCGATCGATCCCACGGCCGCCTTGGTTGAAGTCGAGACCGACGGGCCGTTTTGTGAGGGAGGCATAGCCACAGTGCCAGTGTCGCCTCGTCCACGTGCGAGTATTGTTTAAGACTTTGATCGCCGCGTTGGCGATGTCAACGGCGCGGATCAACGGCGTTGGATTCCCAGAAGCCAGAGAGACGGGAGATGCTAGAAGAGATTTGTCCAGCCTTCCCGCGTCATCCCACTTCTGCGTTGGCGTGCCCGTTAGTTAACGAAGAGCAGTGGTGCTGCAGTAGTCTTTCGAGTCTGCAGAACATGTATCAATGAGCAAGTCCACGGAGGCTCGGAGGGTCTGCCACACCTTCAAGAGTTGTGGACCCAGCAGATGCAGGTCCGAGAAGAAAAGGCAAGGCGTAGTCCCTGAGGTGGAGGGGTTTCGCGGCAACTGCGGAGAAGGGTGTGGCCGTTGAATAGTGGCATTGCGTTCACACTCGAGGTGTGTTCCTAGAGACACTACTTAACAGGGATAAGGCGGCTTAGAGCTAGCAGTTAGCTTGCACATGAAGTGGACTTCGGACGATTCATCTCATCCCACTACCTTTACTCAGATCCGGTAGGTTGACGGCGCTCTAAGGCACGGGGAGTCGATGGAAACCGATGGCTCATTCGATGGTAATTTCTGGCGACGATTCTCGTAGGTTTTAGGCCGCGTCTTGGCGATATAGTTCCGTCAAGGTCTTTGTCAATCTGTCACGATGATTACGGGAACTCCTCACGAGCCAGTTGCTTGGCGGCTGCGGCGGTCACACGGTGGCGAAATCCGTTTCTAGAAGCAGACCGTCCATTGCGGTAGGATAGGGATAAATTCCGTTCTGTTTTTGGGCCGTGTCCAGGCCAGGTTCGTGAGAAGGATTGGCGTTGTCACGAGTCGGTCGGGAAGTGATGAAGCTAGGAGCGAAAGCCCATTGAGGGTCGCCGAGAAATTGTTGGAAACTGGTGAGGCGTGTGTCAGACTGCTCCTTCTTGTTTAGCAACCCCAATAAGATCATGTTCAGCTTCAGCTTTCCATTGTGTTCAACTCCTCTTTGGGGAGCTCCTTCCAACGCAAGGACAAAGATATGGCCTGATTCTGCTTTGACTGACAGAAAAGGGAAGGAGTAACGCTGCACTCCATACATTTCGGTAATTACTGAAAGTCCATTCCCATTGGCCCGGAAGGTCGGCCTATGTTAATGGAAACAGCGACTGGTTTCCATTCCTCGGTCGAGAGTTTACCCCGACTGCCAGCAGCGGAGAGGGTGGGACAAGCTCGGCTGACGTGGAGGAACTCTTGGTGCGCCGTATAACGTTATATTTGTACACAGTATAAAAAAACAAGGGACGTAACGGAGTGAATTCGCAGCGCGACTCATCGTACCTCGTTTCCCATGCAGTGTACACTCCCCGGGTATGTATCTGCTGTAGCTTTGTGGCCGCCCATGTTGGCACCGAAGCCCTTTTTGAACCCTCGTGAGGGGAGGAAGAGGATAAAAATCACGACATCCGTAGAGAGGGGCTTTACGTACGTCATACCTGTAGCACCTTGAATCCCGACGCCGCCATGCACACGGTGTCATGATGCAGCCGCATGCGAGCCAAGACAAACGCAGAAACAGGAAACCACGACCACTTCCTGAGTCGGTACAGGTCCCCGGAAGTCCAGCCCTCACTCGGGAAGAGAACCCACCGACGCTTGCTAGCTGCACATGGGGCGTTTTGTTCTTGATGTGTGGCGATGCCCTCCCATGCATGGATGGCCAATCGCATGGGCAACCTGCGAGATCGTTCATGCGTGAGGCCTGTCAGGGCAGTCGACAGGTGGCTGGGATATCTGCAGGAAGGAGTGCGGGGCCGGGGTTAAGAACGTGGAAGGCAGGGGACCACGGCTCGTCCTGGTCATCCGGAAAGTAAGACTTGCACGGATCAAGTTCGCGAGTGTAAGAGATTTGATAACCCTATGAAGGAGAGGAGGAGAAAGGAAACTCGTAGAGATGTCTACTTAGTTTCACAATTGATATGGGTTGGCTTCAAACAGATGGTCTTTTGACGGCGCCGTTTCTTGAAATGGCCGGGGAGGATGGGTTGGGTCCTTAAAGGACAAAAGCAGACCACTCAAAACATCGCTGAATTTGTCATTATGCGGGGATACATAAAACTCCGACAAGAACATATCAACTATCTTCGTCGACCTCGGTCTTGTGGCCCCAAAAAGAGAGAAGGTCCCGAGATCCGAGCCTGTGTTCTGTCCAACCTAGTGTACAAAGACGGTAACAATATTCGTAATTATCAATCCAATCCTTGAGTCCAATGCGATGTACTCCGCCGAAAGCACAATGGCGTGTGTTGGTTGTCGTCCCACCCAGCAACGGCAGGGATCGGCTGAAAGTAGCCGGATTGGGATTCCATCCAACATTTGATTGGCCAGTGACCCAGGAATGACTTTCTGAAAGCAAGACACAAGGACAAGGTCAGAAGTCACTGAGCTCCGCGAAGTTATGTTACACGCCCATGAAGAGATATCGGCCGAAGATGTTTGGTAAGCATCTAGTTCCGAGGTTGTAGGCGATATTAAGTCTAGTCTACGTCTAACGCACTCGCTCCGGTGATGCTTTCCGTGCCTCACTCGCCCTTCAATTTGACTTTGACCAGACAACTTCGTCTTAAAATTGGACACGACCTTTTTTTGTCCCCCCTACCCCACGAGAAATTTTGGGCATAACTGGTCATAACCAAACATAAATAGGAGATGTAAAAGTGTTGAAAAAGGGAAAGCTCATTAAAAATAGCCACTTTCAATCCGTTTTCCTCTTCCACTCACCCTGCTGTCACGAATAGCATTAACATTGAGTGTCAATTTCCCGTTTTCTCGACCGACCGATCCTGTATGCCGGAAGTCATGGAAGTGTAAGATCTCGAAACTTTTCCAGCCAAATCCCAATTTCCCCTTGATTTTTGTAGTTCCTCGAAAATGAAGAGGCCACGTGAAAATGGGAGATTAAAACTCGCAAAAGGAACTCTAACCTAGGTCGAGTACTGTTTACCCCGACCCGAGTGCCATGGTCGCCGAAGCAAAATCCATATCGTTCAGCCATAAGTCGTAAAATTCGTATTACTGGGGCTTCCCCTCGGTGACGACGGCTAACAGCGTCCCGGCGGTCCGGCCATATGGCGTGTTCCTCCCTTAGTACATTGGAAGTTTTGTAGCTTGGGGGTATGAGACATTTGTGGTGATGGTGTAGTCAAAAGATTCGCGTTTCTCCAAAGGAGTAGGCACACGGCGCGGTTGAGAAATCCGCGAGTATTGCAAAGCCTTGGGCAAGTCTGGTCCAAATGGAGGGGTGGCCAAGGTTTCGCTGCGACGGGGCTTTTCCTGCAAACGGAACGTGTTGTGTTCATCACCATCCTCTCGACTTCCCCAAGATGTCTGGTCCCAGGTTAGAAAATTTCGGCGGTAACGGGACAGAGCAAAAACGGGATACCCACCTGCTTGAGTGTGAAAAGCGCCCACAGCTTGATCAAGCCGTGGAAGTAGCCGAACAACACGGACACCGGCAAGAACACAATGTCACTTGGGTTTTTGCGAAATAGTCCAACTAGTTTGACAACTTTGGTGAAACCGAACATGAAAGCAATCTCCGCAGCGAGTAGGACGCGCCGATTGCTAGGATCCCAGTTCGCCGTTCCCCACCAACACGAGAAGAGCAAAAGGGGGTCAACCAGAAACGCGAGCGAGGTGAAAGTTGCGATGTGAAGTGCGTATGTGCACCACTTCTGTTGTCTGTATTTTTGACGCGTCGGTTAGCAAGTGTACGTACAAGGACGGTGGGGCTTATCAAGAAACTTTTGGGTCACGGCGTACCTCCAGACGTATCTCTCGCGGATAAGGCTTGTCCAGTTACTTCTCCAATTGCTCCGTGCCCACCGAGAGCACTGATAGAGAAACTTGTGGCTGTTCTCAAGCGTCGTCTCAATCTCGCAGTCTGGGTGGTATTGGATCCACGTCTTCCATTGGTGCGCAACCAGCCAGCGCGTCACAAAATTGTCGTCATCGGCATTCAAAATATACCGACCCCATTTTTCATTCTTGAAATTCCCAAGGAAGCTGTAACTCTTGAGGATTTCTGTCCGGTAAGCCCCCGTGCGGCCGGACATGCACGACGTACCGCCGTCAAGATTGTGTGTTGCTGAAATTTCGAAGTTCCGCCTCTCGATATAAGCCGCTCCAAGCCAGTTGTAGATGCGTGTCATGATGTCCCCCTCGGTAACGCGCTTCACCCTCTGACACGTCCCGACACCGCCCATTTCGTCGTCGACAAACGGCTCAAGGAGCCACGGCATGAGCGTAGACGGCCACTCGACATCATCATCAGCCATTACAGTGATAGATGTGTTGACGTGGTCGTCTTCAAGAGCTTTGCAGACTTGGAGACGCTTGTTCGCCTTGTCCACGTGCAAGACGTCGATTTTCACTGGAGACGTTGCGTCCGGCATTCGTAAAGTTGAAGCAACCCGGCTCAATGCTTCGTGCTTGTTCCATGTCGTCACAAGCACAAGTTTCGCCGGCCTGCAGGCCAGGATGCTCTCGAGCGAGGGCCGTAATTCCTCGGGGCGGTTGTGGATGGTTGGGATGATAACGGTGACATCCTGGGAGGTGTATCGCGGTTTTTCCCAGTTCGGGATCTTGGATTTGTATCTCCAATGGCTGTAACAGTGAACAATAAGCCGCGTGTAGCGGTGGATCCTGTGATTTGTGTGAGCCGATCGCACTTGGCTTAGGTGAAGTAGGAACGATTACACACCATAAAATTATATGGAGAATGGCCCAAAACCTGATGGAGGTCCGGAATCCCAACCAGGGAATTACAATGTTGAGTAATGTGGCCATACCGAAGATGAGCGATTCTCGGAGGGTGAGGAGATGTGGCGGTGGCTAATGCAGTTGCTTGACCACTCTTGAATTCAGGTTTTAGCAGATGGCCGAGACTTTGACGAGGGCTGGCCTTTTGGCCAGAACGGGTCGGGAGGAATAAGCGAGAGCAGCAGTTGGTCTGGTGGGACTGAGACGGCACAGCCGTGTCATGGGATATCAAGGCCGAGCCTGGCCGTCGTCAGGAGGGCGTTATGAAAGGGGGCGCCTGCTTTGGTGAAAAAATGCGGAGAAGGTCTCCTTGTATCGGATGTCCCACGGAGCAGTCACAACCGCTTGAAAAGGAAGCGACGAACGTGCCAATGAGCCAGCCGTAGATATGGAAGGTGGCGAGGGGACGGTGGTCAAACGATCGACACAGGCAGTTCTTGCACAAGGACAACCCGTTGATAGCAAGAAGGTGCCAGGAATAACGGTCTTGAAAGTACAGGAAAGGCTCATAAAAACAATGCCATCTGCGGTTGTCGAGGAGGGACAAAGGGAAACATAAAGTGGAAGCAAGAAGATGGGAGTAAAGACCGAAGCCCGGTGGGTTCTAGACTCCGGAGGGAGACCCGGGAGATATAAGTATTTGGAGGAGGTGGATGTGGATGACATGCGAAGCGACGAGAGACGGGTTGGCCGTCGCGGCTGTTACTTAACAGCAAGCCGATGTGTTTGTGGAAACGAAGCCGGGGAGGGGCGGATGTAGAGGCAAGACTGACGAAGAGGGCAGTACCTCGAAAGTACAGCACGTCGGCCGCGGGCCGAGAAGTGTCTCGTGCATTGTAACGACTGTGCTCAGGACAGGACGAGTTCACCCCCCCCGGCTGAGATGCAATCTTAAGGGTGCATCTTCACCCCCGTACCCCCCATACCTTTGCGCATCAGCCTGTTTTAGCTGCTTGACCAGTACCTCGTTCGCTGCGCGACGTTTCGGTGCGGAAACGCCAGATGACGGGCGAGACGCAGGAAGAAAAAAATGTATGGATGGCAGGGTTGCCGACCCGCCCAGGATGTCCAGACATCCAGGAAAGCGCAATGCGCGGATTGGTTGACGAACAGGACCCCGAAAGAGACGGGGGTGGGGGAGTGCGTCTACAATGTATCCACCACGGTTGGTCGTCGGAGCCATGGATCGAATGCACCTTGGGGGAGGGGTGGGGGGTGTGGGCATGTGGGGTGTGTCGCGAGCCCTGCAGTAAACCCCACGTCCTTCTGGGTGCCCCCCCAAGCGGAGGTTTTGATTTTTTGTATTTTTAATTTTGATATTTTTTTTCGTCTGTGTGTATGTGTGCTCCCCCCCCAAGTGCTGGCATGTGTCCTTCTGCAGACATTGTTCCCCGCCCAGTCATCAGAACGTTCGAGTAGTGTACGTGTAGAACTTTCTCATAACGAAAGACTTGACACTACCCAGTACACTAAGCGTGCGTACGAGAGAACTAAACTTGATTTGACGAGGATTTACTAGTACTTTTTCCAAATGGGTGTGTGGATTTAGCGTTGCTTGATCCACTTCGCCAGGCCAGGATGAGAATGTTCTCAAGAACGCTGGTTCGCCCACACAGTCCCCGCCAAAGTACCTCTTCGGCCGCTGAGAATCCACATGAGATTGGAAACAACCTTCCTTTCTCAACCGTGTCTTGGGCGGTTGAACCACCGGCGTGCCGACTTATGGTCTCCGCCGCTGTTCGACTTCTTCCAGGGCCCGACTGGCCGCTGCAGACCCCGAATTCCCTCCTTTCAGAGGGACGAGGCCAATCCGGCCCACCAGTGAATGGCTGGCTGCGTTGGCTTCTTGAGGTGTTGGACGATATCACATGGCGGAGGCTCCAAGAACGATTATTCGCGAAGCAACCGTCAATTGGCATTGGAGCTCAACGGCCCACTATCTTCGGCTGTACTGGCTTGTCGCCAGTGATCGGTTACCCATTCTCGCCATTCATCCATCAGCTTGGTTGGGAATATGGTGTCTGGATCCAGACAATTACAAGCCAAAATCAACAGTAGTGTTTGGACACAGTTCGACAAGCCGCCTTTTTCCCGTGGGACGGACAACAAACGAGGGTACGAATACAACCCTTGAGTTCTTGCGGCTTGTGTGGCGAGAGCGCTTCTTGTCGACGCGCTTCACGATTGCTCGACAGGGGATCGCGGCTCAGAAGCGGAGATTTTTGGTGGATCATTGCCCTGCTCTTGGCGCACCTTCGACGAGTCGCAAGTCCAACGATTTTGGGCCAGACAGTGCGAGCTTCCCTCGGTTTCGCCTCCCTTTCCTTGTGTACTATGTACCTCGGTGTTGGGTTGTACTGTGTGTAGTCGGAGACAAGTCCGACGCGGGAGCTACGCAATATCGCTTCGCCTTCATCTTGCAAGAACCAGCTGATGTCTTATCGTGGTAACGTCTTGGGCCTGAGATTACGCAGTAGGGAGGAACCTCGAGATAGGTCTTTTGTGTGCAGTTGTGGGTGGACACCGAACGAAACACGGCCCCAGGTTCTCCAAATTGCTCCCGCACCCCCTTCACATCTTCCCGGCCACCCCGTTCGAATGGTTGCCCAAGGGGGCAGGCCCGCAACTATGAGGTCCGCAGCCCGGCGAGTCAACCTGTGACGGGGAGCAAGGTCGGCCGAAACCATCCGTGCGAGCGTCCGCGGGCCCTTGTGTTGCGTCTGCCGTCCCGGACCCGGATTTGCTTGGTTATTGCCGGCCGCTTCCGTGGTGGTTCAGTCGAATTGGTCACCTTTCGAGTAACTTATACGAGCGTGTGGTGACCAGATGCCCGTCGAGTCCCCCCCTTTCCTCCCCCCAGATAACCTCAAGACGGCGAGGAAGTTCCAGGTCCCAGCGTGTTTCGGCCGGGGCCGACTCGGGTCGTCCTCGCATTGATGCCGGTTACACAATCTTTCAAAAGTCCCGGAGAAATCAGGAAAAAAAAAACGGCCTGCCGGTAGTTACATAGTAGTGTACGCCACGGGTGCGCGACCCATGCGGAGACACGCAAGGAGGAGGACAAGCCCCCCGGAGATATCGACTCATCCGGCCGTGCCCGGGGTCAACAATGGCTTACTTGACCCACTCATCGAGGAGAGGGAGCACGAGTGCTTCTAGAGTTTGCGTGTCTGTGAGAAGAGTACATAGTACTGGCAACAAACACTATCGTCACAGCGACCCTCCACGCGCGTTGGATTCTGTGGGATTGGACGCAATCGGGCGAGCAAGCACCTTGTGCGTGCAGCCTCGGTCAACATTGCGGGAAAAAGCCGGGGTTTACACTAGCGAAGCAAGCAGAACGCTCCAGCTTCAAGAACCTCAAGGGTCTCGTGCCCCACACACCGAAATGAGATCGGCGGCGTGTTCCGGCATCGCCTGGAGTTGCAGAGATCCCCTGGTGCCTTTCCCTGCACGAACAAGGATTCTAGCACGTCCGAGTTCTGCCTGTTTGGGGGAGGCCCTCTCCTCAAATGTTTCTCTAAGAACCCAGGGGCATTTTTCTCGGGGGAAACACGGTGATTGCCTCATCGTAGCTCGGGGTGATGATATGCAAACCTTGGCTAACTTTTCTTTCCTCGCGGTCTTTGGTGGGCCGTGGTGATATCAGGATCTCGGTTCCTCCGGTCGACAAGTTTCCTACCACGCAAGGGGTATCAGCAACGTTACGACGTTACAAATTCCGTACACTACAATCTGCGGCCGTGCTTGGCCTGTTTGCCATGGCCCCTTGAAAGGCGAGGATTGCGTCGTTTTTGCCGGTATTTGTTCCAGACAATTGCTGGCGGCATTGACCCTGTTGGTTCGACCATTGGCTGGACCATTAAACCAGACACCAGCCGGGTGCTGAAACCGACCTTCCTCCCGTGTCAAATCCGAAATCGGTTGGTTCTTGAGATAACGCGGGGCCGTGGTTGGGTCTTGTTCTCTGCCCACGAATACCACGATGTTATCTCTCTGCCGCGCGCGACTAGCACGGAACCCGTCGAGACCCGCGGAGACCTGGCGATCTCCCGCAAAATTTGTCTGGGGGTGACGCGAAGATCCGCCTCGACGTTTTCTTTGGTGGGCGACTGGAAAGGCTGGTGCGCCGGAGTTACAGCGCACAGACCCCGGGCCGGCTCGGGATGGACCGTCCGCCAAGCCGTCAACGGTATTGTACGTAACAGTGTAAACTCATGTACTATGTAATATGTATGTACTGTACCGCCCTCCCTTGCCGAATTGGCTCATCCTCCTTCCTCCGCCTAACAGCGAAACATCAAGGGAAGGCGACACCTGGGCTTCCGATGTCCAGGGTAAACGACATGATGAAGATCCGTTCGCGCTGCACTCTACTAACTTTTCTCTTTCCATCTTCGCTTCGTTCTTAAGGCCCGAGATTCGTCGGTTGACCATCGTTAAGCCGCTGGCCAGCTCGAGTGACTGGTCCAAGTTTGGCTCAGATAACCGGTTTTCCTCACTTCAATCCCTTTTCAAACCCCGGCCATGTTCTGGACGGAAGCGTATTCTTCAGGAGTCACCAAGCAAAGCCTCCCCGTGTTTCATCGAAAAATCGTTCTCTGCATGGGCACTCAAGACTCCACGGCCCAAGACCCCGGCCATTCTGGAACGCTCGTGGCAACCAAGCATTGTCGGCTTTTAGCCCGAGGATCGCTTGCCTGACACCGTTGCGAGCGCAAGCCACCTCTCGTCGCCTTGACCATTGCGCAATTTCATTTTCTTTCGACGAACATAACCGCAAGAACGTTTTCCCCTACGAGCAAAAAAAAAAAAAAACACAAAATCGACGAACTCCTTGTCCAATCGGGGGCAACAGGGTTGCATCTGGAACTTGAGTTTTCTGCTTCACCCTCGAGCCGCGCAGCAGCCCCTGCACACCCACCCTTGGAGGAGCACACACCGGCTTCGAAAAGAACACGGAAGAAGAAGCCAGCTCTGCATCACCACTAATCCTACCGTGGCAAGAGGCAATCAATCGTCTCTCT